GTGTAATGCTATGCTAAGTGCCAGTATGCCCCTGGAGCTTGATTTTTCTTTCATTTTAAATAAGGAATAACTAAGTCCAGTCATCTGTAGGATTCATCACTTTGACCTCTCCGAGTTTATAAACGTTTTGAAAAGGTTATTCTTGAGAGACTATACATATTTGCATCTAGCAACACGAGTACATATCCTGATAATCCTCACTTTGGTGTTAGGAAAGAGCACGGTGCTGTAATGCCCATGTAAACAACAGATTGCGATCACACCTATGTGAACAGAGGATTTGAAGTTAAGGGGTGAATTTATCGACCGCATATGGCACTGTTATTTTTGTTAGATTGTATAACAAATGTGGGCATAGGTATATCATCCATGTGTGCCTGTGTACAATTTAAGGGTGACAGATTTAAAGTGCGTTATGGTAAATACTGGATCTAGATTTGAATTTTCACGTGAATGTCCATTATCCAAGAGATTTGCCTGTGACTTATGACTATGATATTATATTGAATTGTGAACGTGTTCTTAACCAGATGTACTTTTACAAGTTTAATTGACAATCTAGTAGTTGAAGATTACGAGTCACTTGACATGAACGACGGAAACATGTAAGCATATTTACTTGGTTGTTTTGTGAACAACAGTTGAGTGAGTGAGTTGGGATTAACGCCGCTTTTAACAGTATTCCAGTTATATCGCGGCGTGTCAGCTTAATGTGGGATGAAGGCCCGAAGTGATGCAGGTCTCAGACGTTTATCACTTCGGTGTAACCCACGAGCACGGGTATGGTGCTGACAAACCTAGAAACATAATCGGGGCGAATCGGGATTCGAACCAACAATCATAGGTCCCTTCTGGCGTGCCCAAGGGACGCAACTCTGCACAGCGAATCGCGGCGAATTAGACAACTGGGCCAGAACAACAGTTGACGAACCAACATGATACAGATTGAAAAACGCCTTGGGCTTTGCGTTTGCCCAATACTGTAAATTATCGGTGCTTGATGTTTGTTCAAAGATAACACGATCTTCGTTGGGTCGTTACACGTCTGTCAGGAACTAGTCCAGTGTGCTGTACACTTATCTCAGACGCGACATGGTGCTGTATTCCTCATTAAAGTGACAAACAACTGCATGGATACTTTGTCCAGTTTGCAACCTTCCCATTGCCTCAGGACGCTGGTTTAACGGCATTCCGCGTTTGCGCCCTGTCTGGGCAGTGCCCTTTCTCATACTCGTTTACTTCCGATTGCTGTCTCATTGTTTGAAAGAATGATTTCCGTGTGCAAATGTTGAGTGACGCCCCAAATCACGGGCTGCACGTGAAACACTCGTTATCCAGAATGTATGTCAGTGTCACGTCAATACAAATGAAGACTATTTCCTATGAATATCACAAAAATCGATTGAGTCTATATGAAAAATAACATTTTTTTGCACAGTACACTTATCGGGCATCTCCACGTTGGAAACTGAAGGAGTCCTTTATTGTTTTGTCATTCGGCGAGTAACTTTATACTGAAATTCCTACTTTATGAGGTGGCACGCCAGAAACCTATGATTGTGGGTTCGAATCCCGGTTCGCCCCGATTATGTTTCTAGGTTTCTCAGCACCATACCCGTGCTCGTGGGTTTCACCGAAGTGGTAAACGTCTGAGACCTGCATCACTTCGGGCTTTCCTCCCACATTAAGCTGACACGCCGTGATATAACTAGAATACTGTTAAAAGCGGCGTTAAACCCACCTCACTCAATCACTCACCTACTTTATGCTGTTAAAATTTTAAATGATTAAAACAATTTCATTAATTTTACTCAGTCGACAGGAAGTCCGAAAACACCAGGCCCAGTTATTAAACCGATAAATATTTGCAGACACGTTAATTAACCAGCCGCTAAATTGCTGTTGCAGGATCACTACAGAACCATTCGGTTAAACCATCAAATAGGTTAAATATTATCCCAGAATTCCAGGCTATGGTACTTCCGTCATTGTGTCGTCGACGACAGAGGAAACTCCACAAAATATAAGGAAAGAAACTGGAATTTGACTGGTCAGTGGGTGAAGATATCATTTAGTCGTTGGAGAGTAATTCCCTCCTACTACATGAACAACTTAGCAATGAAGTAACAAATAAGACGTCTGCTGTTTGGAAGTGCTATCCCCAAGACAGTGAATGTGAAGCATGTAGCACTTTGATCTTCTGCTGAAGTGAAAGAGAAATGGAGCGACACAAGGCCTGTCTAACTATGGGTTTTCTTTCTCATTCAATTATCTTAAAATAATTTAGAAAAACATTCTCACTTGAATAAATTAAAATCTAATCAAAATTAGTCATGTACGTTATTACCACCAGTAGGTTGTAATGTTGTGTAAGAAAGGTCATACCCAGATACTAGTGTTGAAATATTCGTAGTATTGGTCTAATTATCCAATAGTCAAAGAAACAAAACGTGCTCGTCACTTACCCGTATTTCAAACGACAGAGTTGGTCTGTCTGAAAGTTCTCCAGTTTGTTGAGAAGCTAAAATCAAATCATCTTCAGCGGGTCACTGAAAGTTCCCATGTCGTCTTTTTGCCATCCATCCAGTTAATGGTGCAGTGTCCACACACGTTTCACAGGGGTGTATGCGCATGCAACTCATGTCATGTTATGCTCGTGCAATGTGGCCAGACTGAAACACCCGTGTATCGCTCGTGCATATCGTGCTTGTTGAATGTCAACTGGAGTGAAAGGTGATAGACGGTTTAAATTACTTGCGCAATAAGAAATATATACTTCAAGTTGGTACCTACATTACGTCTAAACCGTTAGCTTGACTCAAACCAATCTCATTTAAATCAGATCTTAGTTCTCGCTGCCGCTAAACAAAGATCTGAGGACATCCTATTACGGGTCACGTCAGACCGACCTTTCGCAAACTCTGACCGACCAATGGAATGACTGACAAGAAGTCGACATTAGCCAATCAGAAGGCAGCTTTCTCGTGCTTTAAGGCACTAATTTCAAATTGGCGACTACGCTTCCAAACATATTTTGACAAATTCTCGCTTAATAATTTGAAACCTGAACAAAAGAAAGTTCTAGAATGGCTAATATATGGTCTAGATTGTATAGATTCAGTCGTTAAGCCCGTAACTATCGTTCGTAATACCCCGTTTTAACGTTTTCGAGGCTGCATGATTAGAAATCACATTCCGACTGTCACTTTCATGATCTGGTAAGCGACGCTCTGATTGGTCGGATGAAAGGTCGCTCTGACGTGACCCCTAATGGGATGTCCTCAGATCTTTGTTTGGCGGTAGCTAGGACTAAGATCTGATTTTAATGAGATTGGACTCAAACAGTTAAAGCATTTAAACAAAAATTGTTTATGGTTTAAAATAGTTAACCTCGTTTATGTTAGTTCTTCAAATTTCGACGAATGAACGATGGGTCACATAAGTGGCAGTAGCAATAAGCAAAAGGCCCTTCATTATATCAGTACACTCACTAAAGAATATCTTCAAACAGTTTCTGTTCTTTAATTAGGAATAGTGTTGAAAGCTGACATGAATTCGGAGCTTTCATATAGGAATCCAATCCGCACCAAGTCGTAAAAAGGCCTCGCTCTAATACAGGTACAGCAAGCCTTCTAGAAACTGGCACATCAGGAATAATCTCTAACGACCAAGCTTGCCATGTGTGTTTACAACCAGACTGTGGTAACTTAATGAAACGTCCTGTTTTAATGTAACCGCCAGACATTTTACTTGCCGTTTAATCATTCACCGACACTGACATAGCCTACTGCCACGTAACAACACATTGGAAATCATTTCATCCTTGACGTATTTGACATTTTCACAACTGTTAGCTAGCATAGTTATTATTTTTGCAGACTTACAAACCACTTACCAGTGCTTATATATGTACATGAATACTATTCATCTTCAACAATTTGTGCTAAACTAGAAATGTAAAATAGCTATTTATTGTCAAAAGTGTGGGACTCCAGGTAGTTTAAATTTGACTATTGATAATATTTTAGCTTGTTCATATTTGGTATCAGTATATCTGTGTCCAACATATTTCAAAATATGTGTGATTGTTTGTTTGTTGTTTAACGCAACACTACGCAATATTCCAGCTACAGGACGGCGGTCTGTAAAATATCGAGTTTGGCTCAGACAATCCAGTGTTTGACATCTTGAGCATAGATCTATGCAATTAGGATACGATGACATGCATCAACCAAGTCAGGGAGCCCGACCATCCATCCCATTAATTGCCTCTTAAGACGAGCATAGTCGCCTTTTATAGCAAGCATGGGTTGCTGAAGAGCTCCAGCACATTGTATTGTGGTGTGTCACTTGGTGCAGTTTTACCATTAACACACTGACAATGTCACAATGCACTGTACTTTGGACTGGAGGCCTTACATACTGAATAACAGACTTGAACCATATCTGAAGTCAAGGCAAGGGAGTTAACGGACAACGAAAGTTTCCACCCTTGTCGAACTTTGCTGGAATTTCCGGGCTCAATCGCAGCGCCACCGGTAGCTATTACGAATTATGTCCCTTCTATGTCCTTCCTACTGACCAATCAGATCCCACCTCTCACAGCACTGGCATTTGCTCCAAACAATCAAGATCTATAGTGTGATAAAACGGGTCTTACTTTCCGAAGTGCATCAAATCATGTGAGCAACTTGATTAAAATACATGCAAAGGTTTGAAAAATATCTGTTGATGCCGAGTTGGCAGTACACATGTTTTTCAAATCCTGAAATTTGCAGGGCAGTTTACGAACCAGATGTCGATTTCATTACACGATTTTGATTGGACTATGCATAGACTCGTTAGTCCAGCCCAAATATAACTACATAATTCCAGCCTAGTTTGGCGAGGGTGAAAACTGGACTTTTATAGTCAGTTAACTCTCTTGCCTCAGGAAGATGATCTGAAGTTGATGCTGGAACAGTTCAGACCATCAACATGAAGAACAGAACAAACACCACTTTTCTCTTATTGTTTAATCAGTTGTTGAGAAAGAGCCTGTGATAGCACTACTGATAGTGAATGGCTAATGCTGACCAAGGTCTGCCACAAAGGACTGTCCATTGTGAGAGGTGGACAACCCCTGCCTGTACACACAAGCCCTAGACATTAGTCTTCAACCAGCAATACACCACAAGGAAATGGTCCAGAAATTCTTGTCAATAATGACTCACAATTTAGCTTCTCTGTAACAAGACAATGTGCAAACTTCAAACATACATTGAATGAACAGTGATGTACTTCCAAAGCACATGTTCATTCACTTGGACAAATACAGTGATCACATGCAAAGACTTAAGTATCTTATCAGACAAGCCCTCTTCTTTAACACTGTCTTTCTTTTCTCCTATATTCCTAGGGTTACAGCATGTTTGGGGATTACTAAACTTTGCAAAAACCCTTTATCTTGTAAGTACTGCTCTATAGTTTGAACTTAAGACGATTGCTGAGGAACCTCCTGTTGGAACTTTTTAAGTTTCACAAATCATTTTTATGCAAGACCCAATTTATGTCCTTGTCATTTTATGCAGCCAAAATTTTGCAACAGTGAAATGATTTTTAAAAATATATCAACATGTTGTTTTAGACTGAAATCATGTTTTTTTCTAAAGTTAATTCAAGAATTGATTCAGAAATCAAACCTCAAACATATATTTTTTATAAATTTGGCATCCATGCCTGATATTGACAACACTATGAAATGAACAATTAATGGGTCTGACCTTATTATGTTATTACAAGCTCTTCACAACCACATGGGCATCCTTCCTGACATGGATGTCAAACTATGTGCCATTAGTCAGCAACACATGCTGAGGGACTGTTCAATAGATCACACCGGTGCTCACTATAAAACATTTAGTGACGTTCCTAGCTTTGGGCCAGGCAAATAAATGCACATAAGAAAATATATAGCATATGATATCACTGGACCACAAATTGAGTCTCTGCAATAACACATTGTTTCACTTTATTTCACACCCACATTTAGGTATCAGAAACATTGAGCCACACCGATCTGTAGCTTACTTGAATTGCTTCTGGAATATCATATTAAATATGGTTTAGGTGGAAGTGAGGCAAAAGCAACGTGAAAAAAATTTAAACATGCCTAAAAAATATGTTGTTCAACAAACCACAATACTACAAGTAGAAAGTTTGGAGTAATTGCTAAATGACATTTTCAGTATGGCCGGATCAGCCAGGCAAAGTTTCAGCTTGATACGACAACGGTTTCGGAGAAGAAGTCTTAAACTGTAAAAGTTTATAACAGAAGGATGAGAGACAACGGGCTCCGACATTTGCTCTCTTGACTTCCAGCCTAGTGAGCTAAAACCAAATACCAGCAGGGCAAATTGAGGAACTGGTTGAAAGAAACAGCCTTCAATGTGGCCCAGTGTGAGGAAGAGATCAAGGCTATTACTTTCACATTGCTTTCATGAAACATGGCGTAAGTTATCAGATTCAGCAAAACACCATCACAAAGAAAATTAAACCTGGATCTATACAAGTGAAATACACAAAAATATACCTGCATGAAGTGAAAATATCTCAAAGCTCTAAAAATCCAAGCGCCAATAAAATAATGTAGTATGACCAGTTGATGTTCTATTATGGCAGCTAGTTGAAGATATGAACACCTTTAGAAAAATACATTCTGGCAAAATGAAATGATGTATGATGTAGCTTCAACTGATGCCCTCAGGACAAACCCTCATTTGCTGTGCCCGACAATTACAAACTGGTATATCAGATGACAATTAACCCTGAATAATTCATTCTAGTTCAGGTAATTGCTGTCAAAATGCAGGAAAAAGAATTAATTCAAAAGGGATGTCTGTCAACACTTCACATTCAATAATTTGTTAAAAATAATGATCAACCATGGTTACAATAAAGTAGTTATCATAGCGTGTGAATCATTCATTCAGAGATCACCATGCCTACCTGACAACAGTATTGGTGCAAACCAAAACATTTCTAATCACCTTCCCGTCAAATACTTGAAAAATAATCATATTTTTGTCATGATTTTAAGACTAAGATAAAAGAATTACTCTAAAAAAATATGACTGAAGGCCAAATACAGGGGAGGAATATATTTAAGTCCAAGAGCAATGAAATTAAGCTTGTATTTTAAAATGGGTTGCCATTTCATCTACCTCTGCATCCTGCAACATCTCAATTGCATCCAAACTGAAAACATTATCTGATTACTCACTGGACCATCATGGCTGATACACAACACATAAACATTGACTAAAGACTTGCTTGTCTTCAAAACCCTCAACTTTCAGTTCATTAACTCACAACTCTTTCAGGGCTACCAATTGTTTCGGTTTGGGCTAGGTTACGGAGTTCTATAAATTCATTAGTTGAGACGTTTGAACTGGTAATATGCCTTCTGTGAAAATAAAGGAAATCAAACCTGGTGACCCGACAAGCTTCTGATGAGGAACATTTATTTTCATGGCCCAATGTTAGCCTTTCTAAAACTAAGCAAGAATGCAGTTAATTCTGAGTGCAATATATCACAAAGGTGACATCTTGAAAACAGGAGTCGGGTATTCACACATCTCCACCCATCTCACCCTAGAACAACCATTTCCTGTAAATTAGCCACAGATATTTTCCTAAGAGATACCAATACAAGGCTGTATCTTCAAAGAAGCAATGATGTATGTTGAACATGAAATGATACATGAGAATAAACATAAAATTGACATAAAGGCATAATCTAGCACCAAACTGGGTTAATTGTCCAGAGGTTGTTAATTCAAGATAACAAATGGCCAAATTCATGCTTTTCAGTGACAAACTGTACAAACACGAAATAAATTCCAAATAAAAAAAAAGGTTGCTTGTCACGTAACACCTGTGAGCGCTAAGACAGTGTATGTAAACTGAGATTTACAACCATATTCTTATTTCTAATGTTTGTTGATCATCAAAGTGATGACTAACTAACAACAGTTCACCTTCACAAAATCAGAATACACAAGTAGGCAAGTATGTGAGTACAGAACATCATGATGAACAAAATGTTAATGAAATTAAAGTACAATTAAAACAATCTCACCCCATAACTGAAATGAATGTCATTTTACAAATCTCATGTGAACAGATGTGCTTATCAGTAGCCACACCTCAACATCTGCCATTCAATTCAGTAGCATACACTTTCAGAACATATATATCTGTGTGTGTATATACATAGAATGCTTTTAAGGGACTAGGAGGAAAAAGATATCCTCTTCACTCAAAAAAAAAAGAGGCTTTGACACAGTAAAGATTTGGTATAAAGTGGACGAACTCAAGAATGGCACCTGGGTGTGGACAAAGGGAGGTAACTGTGAACTGTCCTGAGACAGGCTACAACTACTCATACAAGTTGGTGGGAACCTGTTGGGTCAAGCGACCAAATATCTGTGACAACGAATGGACAGGTATTAAAGTCAAGGGGATCAATATTCATCAAAATAGAGGGGTCTAAAGGATTAATGCTGGCGTCAAACAGTCATTCCTTGCACGGTTTTCCCAAAAAAAACTTTTCCGGTAAAGGATTAGAGTAACATATTGTCTATGATTATTTTATTACACAATACTTAAGTCATGGTGCAGGACAAGCATATGATTTGCTGTACCTGTTTCTTCTTACTTTAATTATTTTACAGTGCTTACTGACTTAAGTGCCCCTCCAAAAAATGTCTGTTTTACCAGCTGACAAGGCAAGTGCCTGGAAACGAGTCTTCTTTACAAGTGGTGCAACAACTATTTCGCTTCCTGCCCAGGAAGCCATGAGGTAAGTACCAACACCAAGACTACAATGCTAACCTGGGATTAAAATAAGATCGGTAAGTTACGACAAACACACATATACTAAAAACTCACGCTTGCACACTGGTGATTTCAGATAAATACTTTTACAGCATGCTAACTATCACCATGCTGAGTAAGATACATCTAGAATTTGTTAGTGTTGAGCAAATTGAAAAATATTGTACAGGCATTTAGCATTATCTAGCAACTGTTGATGACAAACAAAACTACGGGTAAACACCTTTCAGAGATAAGCGTGTCCACTTGCCTCTATCAAAGCCTAGTTTCTTCAAACCTAGACTTTGATAAATAGGCTAGTGGCCGCTCTTGCCACGGGAAGATGCCATGTAAGAAGTAATATATTCATCTTAAGCCATAAAAGATTATCAATATTTATGAGATTTATTCAAAGGTCTGGGACTTTAACTGTCAAAAGAATAATTAATGTTTTTTAATCTGACAAGACGAGCCATGTTGATTAGAGTAATTGACAAGGGGATGTTCTTGTCGTCATGGTTAATGAAATACTAAGGCATGCTGGGACGAAAAGCTCAATGATTTCATTAGCGTTGATTTCTATCAGTTCAAAAGTCAATATATATCTCTGCTAATACACAAATCAAGCTGTCGTCATCGTGGTATATGACCAGAAGCCTTAATGCTAGAGAAGGCATCACAGACATAAGCTTTCAATAAGTTTAACATTACAAAATGCCAAAACATAAATGTAACATAACACAAAATCAATGGGGAAATCCTTATTCACAGAGTGATGCTAGACAGGTGGCTACAAACCATCGACATGGATAATGTCACATCTGATGGCATGTTAAGTAGTCGTCTATTTCAGGAGGGATGTATATATATCTTACATTCATACATAATTACACATGTACACTGTGCATATACACTGAAGCAAGCCATGCTATCTGCTGACCTACACGTCAGTCATAATGATCATCACAAATTATGAGCAGTTACTTCTTCATGGTATTACCGTATGTACAATTTTACAGGTGTCGAATTCGACTAAACAGTATTTTCAGAGAGAGGAAAGTAAGTATTGACAGAGCAGGGTTTGAAACATGTGATGACAGGTTCAGACAGGTTCAGACAATCAGGAAAGTTAACAGGGAAACTAGATATCAGTTCATGCATTTGTTGTGCCAGACCAATTTAATTTCAAGTTTTTTCTCCTAAATTTGGCAAAAGAAAAACAGAAGTCACTACTTTAAATACAAGTAATAATTTTTCACACATCTTTCAGTTAAGGATGCATGTCAGAACTTTCAAGGTTTGTATATATATATAAACATTTTACTTTTACTAGATGAAAACTGACCAAAAGAAACTGTAAAAAACGAAATTAAATAGGTCTGTCTTTGTTAGTATGTCATACATAATCATGAAACTAAATAGACAAATAGATACAAAAATGATCTTTCAACACTCTTCCCATAATGGGATTCAAACTTCGATCATCTGCACAACAAACTGAAACATCCATGACTGTGTGAAACCTAAGTGGATACATGTTGAGGAACATACATATAATACACACTGATTAACTCCACACACTTCAAAACTAGAGTGAGTATGGTTTTACGCCGCTTTTAGCAATATTCCATCAATATCACGGCAGGAGACACCAGAAATGGGCTTCACACATTGTACCCGTGTCGGGAATCGAACCCGGGTCTTCAGCCAGACGAGGGAACACTTTAACTACTAGGCTACCCGACTGCCCCTCAAAACTAGAAGTTACAACTTAAATATATAGCCGTTACATACCTTTTCCTTGTAAACAAAATATTCTTTAAATATTACATTGAACACAGGTTACGAACCAGTATCAAAATCATATGGAAACAAGAATTATTTTTAATACATATTATTCATAGATAGAGCTTTAGAACATTGTCAACAAAAGTAGACAGCTGGAGGATGAACACATCTTTTCCACGAATTGGTAAAAACAGGTGTTTTTTCCTGAAAAGGGGGTCCCAGAAATGATCTTCTCTATCACTGCATAAAGAGAGTTGTGCTATATAATCAAGGCTCCCCTGCAATATACATAATACTCAATGATTAGCTCAAGTGCAGACATCACTGTCAATCTAATGCAGTAAAGGTATAATGTTGTACAACAAGGTCTATCCAATGCAAAGCATGACAGGGTCTACCCAATGATATCAAGGGTATGACAAGGTCCAATGATAGTATGACAAGTATGCTCATATGACAATGTATGACGAGGCCAAACTCTTGCAATCAAAGGATGACAAGGCGGAGCTCTTGCAATCAGGGTATGACAAAGTCTAGCTCGTGCAATCAGGGTATGACAAGGTCTAGCTCATGCAATCAGGGTATGACAAGGTCTAGCTCTTGCAATCAGGGTATGACAAGGTCGAGCTCATGCAATCAGGGTATGACAAGGCCGAGCTCTTGCAATCAGGGTATGACAAAGTCTAGCTCATGCAATGAGGGTATGACAAGGCCGAGCTCTTGCAATCAGGGTATGACAAGGTCGAGCTCTTGCAATCAGGGTATGACAAGATCTAGCTCTTGCAATCAGGGTATGACAAGGCCAAGCTCTTGCAATCAGGGTATGACAAGGTCTAGCTCTTGTAGTCAGGGTATGACAAGGTCTAGCTCTTGCAATCAGGGTATGACATGGCCTAGCTCTTGCAATCAGGGTATGACAAGGCCTAGCTCTTGCAATCAGGGTATGACAAGGTCTAGCTCTTGCAATCAAAGGATAACAAAATTCATCCCATATAATGAGCAAATGAATATGGCCATGAAAGCTGAGTCTTGGCTTGTATGTTATAGTGAAGCTTTGTGACTGATGGGACAACAGTAGCCATGTACTGACAGTCACAGATAGAAAAGAGATTATCATAGCTTTATAGGAGATTCAATAAATACACTTTGTTCTGTACAGACTTCTACAAAGCACATCTATTTCAAACAGCAATCCTCAGGTTAGACTGCCTAAAGATGTCCATCACAAATTCTTTGTATATTAAAACAGGCAGAAACATATCTGAATAAAACTTCAGACCACACTGAACTTAAAATAATTTTCAGACGATCGTAATCATTCTTCACCAGAGAAACTAAACTGTATGATTCTCATGTCAATGAATAAAATAGCTATGCCGATGTACAGGAGCACTACCTGTTTGGTATGAGAGTGACACTATGGACTCTGTGGCTCACATCTAAACGAGTGGCTTAAAGCAGTAAGGCAAATGGCAATGTTTTCATACAGCAGGGCGTGGCACCGTGAGGCAGTAACTGCTGCTAAACAGAATAAAGACTGCTCACAGTGTTGCATCTGGACGAGGACAGCGCTGAATGTGGGCCCCTCCTCTTTAACATTCAACATTTATTAACATGACACAATGATGTTTTGTTCCATGTTTATACATATCTAGGAGAGTTCCTACATTTCATGCATGTTTGCTTTACATTCTTCAAAAGAAGACACTTCAACTAGTTTGTCATGTGGGAATGCAGATCTCCACTTCTATAGGGTTAGATTCGAAATCTCTTTTGCAGTTTTGTAGATAATAATTAGAATGTTTCAACTATTATATTATTGAAACAAATCCCAAATTACATAAATGATTACTGGAATTATGCTTGGTGCAAGGATTACTTTAAAAAGAAATGGAGCAATTTCAGGTGTTTTCCAGCTTCTTTTATCTACACTGCTGTTTTATTCTCCATCCTCTTAAGATCCAACTGTTTATTCTGCCGCCCATTATTTGTACACCCAGAACAGACTGACTAGGAACACCAAACACTGCTTCACCATCTGCTTCATCCACATAATGGAGGTGTGATGTGCACAATTCATTAAATGTACACAACTCATGTTAGATGTGAAATGTACACATGACATGTGAATCATACACAAGCTATGTGAAATGTACACATGACATGTGAAATGTACATGACATGTGAATTGTACACATGACATGTGAATCATGCACAAGCTATGTGAAATGTACAGATAACATGTGAATCATACACAAGCTATGTGAAATCTACACAAGTCACATGAAGCATACACAACCTAAGTGAAATGTGCAGATGACATGTGAACCATACACAAGCTTATGTGAAACGTACACGACATGTGACTATAAGAAATGTACACGACATGTGAAACATACACAAGCTAGGTGAAACGTACACAAGGTCACACACACCAGATGCAACACTGTGTCGACATATATATTACAAGACTGCGAACTAATGCTGTGCCATCAAACATCCAGCAGCAGAAACACGGACGAAATAATAATAAATTATCACAGCATACAATAAGTTGATCATATCTTCTTCAGCAGGCTCAATATACACTTGCATCAAGATAAACATCGTTAGTTGCTTCTCCTGTATCACAGTGAGTGTCTCACATTAGAAAGGCCGCCTGTGGTTGGACAGCCTCTGAGAGGGAGTACTTCCAGTCTGCACCAAATAGGTTTCAACACATAGACACATCACTGTCATGGTCCGCTGACCCCAACATATGCATAAGAAGTCGTGGGGAGGAGCAAGATGGGTTGTTACTTGCGCTTGTTCTTGCTCTTGATGTTTTTACTGAGACTCTCTTCTTCTTGCATCTCTCGGCGGAAAGTCGACACTTTTTCTGCAAAGAGTTTATTCATATTGAAACATGAGTGAGACAGTGAGTATGGTTTTACACCGCTTTTAGCAATATTCCAGCAATATCACTGCGGGGGACACCAGAAATGGGCTTCACATAATGTATTCATGTTGGGAATCGAACCCGGGTCTGCGGCGTGACGAGCGAACGCTTTAACCACTAGGCTACCCGACCGACCCATATTGAAACATGAATGATGTCAACTCTACATAAACCAGGGACATTCAAATTCTAATCAAGGTTTTTTCAACACGAATGAAAGTGGATCAAAAATAAAACGTCATATATTTTTTCTCCCAGCAATTTGTCCTCTGTAGATATTTGAAGACAATAAAATGATGCACGCTGTTCTCTAGATAGATGCTGTATCGGCGTATTGTACAGATGGAAATTACTCAAATACGGATTGATTGGAAACCACAACTGTATTAAATGTGCATGCAAACAATACTATACACTCTCATGATTGTTACAGTACCCAAATCTGAATGATGGCGACACAGTGTGTGTTGACAAATTGCCAACCAAATAGGCCTACAAATTCACTTAGAGTGGGTCAACAAATAGGGATATTTTTCTTTGAGTGACTTCCAACACCACAGTATTTCACTTTGTTTTTGTTTAATGTTGCACTCATCAATATTCTAGCCTGTAAATAATCGAGCCTGGTGAAGTGAAATGGGGTTTAACATCTCATTCAAGATTATTGCTCTTACATAGGCGAGGTGAAATGGGGTTTAACATTTCGTTCAAGATTATTTCACTCACATAGGTGAGGTGAAACGGGGTTTAACATCCCTTCCAAAGATTATTTGTACTAGCGATGTGCATGCACGTGTGTGTGACTGCTTGTACTAGTCCGGACTAATGCCGATTTTATAGTGCTAGCCCACTGAGATACCATGCAGCAGTTTAACATGAATACCTCCCTCAGACACAGTAAACTGACGCCGGGCTGACCAGTCCTTGTTTTAGCCCCTTAATGCTGACCGCCAGGCAGGGTACCAACAAGTACCATCTTTCAACGTCTTTTGGTATGAAGAGGTCGGGGATCGAACCCCAGACCTTCCATTTTCCATGCGCACGGAGGCGGTCTTATTGAGCCAGGACCAGATACAGCAGTGATTGATATCATGAGCACAGCTTGATGCCATCCCATCACAATGATTCTCTTTCAACCTTGTCGTCAAGCCTGACTACCTGATCATTAAGTCAACTTGTACAACAAGCATAGGTTGCTGGGGACCAATTCTAATTACAAATCACCACAAGACCACTGTATTTCATAGCATAACAGCTATACATGGAAGCTATACCCAAAGTGATGCAGTTCATCAACATTTGCCACTTTGGTAAAACTGAGCATACTAAGGTGCTGATAAACCAAAGAACGGAAATCAAGGTTTCAAACTCACAAGAACCAGATCCTGGCATGTTTAAGGGAAACAACTCTGCACTGCACATAATGACCTAAAATTTCATTAAAATATTATTTCAATTACCTTACAGTTTGTTGTGTAAAAGTACTGTGGGTAAGACATAACTGCCTCTGTCCGAAAGAGAAATATGCAACATAATATTGTCATTGAGTAACCACCATAAGCAAACATGGAAACGAATGAAGAATAACTAACCTCGAAGATCGGTGAGAGCTTGAATCTTCTTTGCCAAGAGCATGTCAAGTTGTTTGGCATAGGCTGAAATGAAAACAGAGAACTAATAACTACACTGCAGTAGGTTTAAACACTCCTTCCTGGACCACTGCCTGGGAATTACAGTTTGTACCGTTGTCCAAATCTCACCACATTTCTTTCAATGAAATGCAAGAAATGGTGCATGACACAACTGATGATGAAGATGATGAAGATGATATTAACGATGTCCTACCTTCCACATCATAGTCTACTTCGTCAGTCAGCTTCACCAGTTTCTTGTCTTCAGTCAGCCACTTCATGGACATCTGTCAACAGATATTGAAGGACTTTTCAGGTTTGTTCATGTAATAAGTATGAAAATTAAAATATGAGATCTCAATAACTGTAAATCATTATGTAATCACTTCTTTCAATCATTCCACTTCATGAAAAAATTTAACACAAGATATTCCACGGGTTTTTTTATTCAACTTTCCACTTTAACTTCTGAAGCTAACATGCAGCATGTGTCTATAATTGTAAAATTGTACCAAATTTTACACTTCCAAAAAAACAAGGTTTATTTATTGTCATATTACAGCCATTTGAGAATCTAATGACACTCAACATTCATACAGAATTCAGGAAAACACAAAGTGGTCAACAGCAAATCTGCAAAACTTTACACTTGATGCACACAGGTAGAGACTATTTGTTGAAACTGATGCATTTAATCTCTTGAGCTTGAAAATTGAAGCACAATTCATAATCTTTATACACTTCACAAACACACAAACTACCTGTGCTCATTTAAGGTACATGTTGACAGTCCACAAAGACTCTGTGGGACAAGCATGCTCACAACCTGCCTACCTCAACAACATTGCGATGTTCATCCAGGACCTCTTCTTCTTGTTCCTGCATCTTGTTGACGACCTGGTGGAAGTTGAGCAGCTCCTCCGACACCTCCTCTTGCTGTGCACAGAGGATCAACAGTGTCATGAGCTCATTCACCACCATAAGGAATACATTCGAAAAAATTCCAGTTTTCTAAAATTTATGTCATATGTACAGAACCCTTGAAGATCTGGAGTAGAATGGGTCCTTCAGCAACCCATGCTTGTCATAAAAGGCATCTGTGCTTGTCGTAAGAGGTGACTAACGAGTCGGGTGGTCAGGCTTGCTGACTAGTTGATGCATGTCATCGTATCGCAATTGCGTGGATAGATGCTCATGCCAATAAATGTATTATCTGGTCCAGACTTGATTATTTACAGACCACCGTCATATAGCTGGAATATTGCTGCGTGCGGCATTAAACAGCAATCAAAATCATATGTACAGAAAGAAATAGAATTCCAAAGGTTTTTGAAATTTCTTATATCCAGTGTTAGTTACTAGTCATCCTGCCTTGTCTGTCATTTTGTAGTTCTTGCACAAACACAAACAGTATATCCACACATCACTTACATTGGAGGTCTTGAGTAGGGCCAGGTCGCTGTTCTGTGGAGACATGGAGCCGATGGCCATGTTGTCAGACTGTGCCACCTCGGCCGGCTTCCCCTCCACGGGACCCCCTGGGCCCAGTTCCTTCACCCTGAAACACATCACAGATGGAGGCTGTTCTACAGCATGTATATCTGGCCAACACAAAACTTAACAAGCTCCTCACAGCATGTGACACCTTTGTTACACTCTCGGTAACATCGCTGCCACTAGTGTGGGCACGGCCATTACAAGAATCTTGAAATGTGCCCTCGAACCCCAAATGTAGTAACGTTTATACTTTTGTTTATGTCTTTGGAAATGCCATCATATTTCATTTTGAAAAGGTTTATGACTGACCATGTTTTCCAGATGAATTTACTTTGTTGTTTTAATAATCAGATTGGTTCGAGATTGCAGACTAACGGAAAATCAACCAACTTCTCCCTTACATTCTTACTGTATCAATTAAAGATGATACTTTGAATGAAACAGAAATTCAAATTGACAAAGAATTAATTTATCAGCGTTAAGTGTATTCGGCATCACAACAGTCGTTTGTAAACAGAACGGTCATTCCGTTGCGAGTTCAACTCCAAGCATGGCTGGGGCCACCTATCACAGTGGGGAGTTTTGACTGGTGGCAGCGATAGTATAGAGAGCTCCACGAACGGGCTATCGCTGTGAGGAGCTTGAAAACTTAATACCCAAGGGAGATAATTCATATCTATCAGCTAACTGCAAACCGCTTCATTCAAGCTCTTCATGTTAACAAGACTCAAGTTTTCCCTTGGCAGCTAAAAGTACATGAAGCCAAGACTCCACTACACTTCTACAATTGTAAAAGTATTAAAAGAATCTTGGTAATTGGGCACTTCTCACTTCAGGAAAATACAAAACATTTTACAAAGTCTTTGCCTAAGAACTAATTTGAATTTGTTTTAAACACCACCTACCTGTCTGCATATCGAAGTGTGTTAAGGGTGTGTTCACAACATGACATTCCGGGAGAGATCATCGCAATCTGAAATCACAATACACTCACAGTCAAGAAATTACTACATATCACAGATGATCACACAACACTTATGTGAGTTTCATTTGCCTTAACAGCATTTCATTCCCATCACAGCTCAAAGGATACCCTTCCTGATGGTAAAAGAGTAGTTTACAACCTGTACAAATATTTGAAGATTCAGGGGTCCGAAGATTGAAACACCATGGCTGAAAACCTCAAGGTTCCTCTTTAATTTCGAACAATGTTAACACTATGACTGTGGTAAGTAAATGAGAAAGTATACAAGCTAAGACAAACATAACACTAAGTTAGCCCTGTTAAACACGAGGCCAAGTCCTCAATAATCAGCTGCCATTGTGAACACCTCATCACCATCTTAGTTCTCTTGTGACAAGCATATGGACCCTTGAAGATTCCGGGGTAGAATAGGTCTTCAGCAACCCATGCTTGCCTTAAAAGGTGACTATGCTTGTCGTAAAAGGCGACTAACGGGATCGGGTGGCATGTCATCGATCCCAATTGTATGGATGGATGCTCATGACATCAATCACTGGATTGTCTGGTCCAGACTCGATTATTTACAGACCGCCGTCGTATAGCTGGAATACTGCTGAGTGCGACGTTAAACAACAATCCAACAACAATGACAACGACAAGCATATGGCACTGAGAACATGTTTCCACATAAAATCCCAAAGGGGTATTAGTGTGCGTTTGTTTCTTGTATTATGCCATACTCAGCATCTCCATCTCAATGTGAACCAATTATTGATATTATGTGCACCAATGGCATGCAATGAACCAAGTAACGGAGTCCGACCACACAATCCATTCAGCTGCCTCTTACAACAAGCATAGGTTCCCCGGGACCTAGTTTAACCCGGAATCCCACTGGGTCTTAGAGAATGTAAGCAGAGGACATATCAACCTACCATGCATGTCCTTGACTTCTCCCCTATAAAAGAATCTCGCAGTACTTGAGTCAGCTTGCTGGCACGGAAGGGTAAGTGAGTCCCCTTCTTCCCCAAGGCTCGGATACATTCCTTCAACACAACAACATGTGCAGATAGTAAAGTGACTCCAGTATTGTGACATGTATTGAAAAGTGACTCCAGTATTGTAAAGTGACTCCAGTATTGTGACATGTACTGTAAAGTGACTCCAGTATTGTGACATGTATTGTAAAGTGACTCCAGTATTGTGACATGTATTGTAAAGTGACTCCAGTATTGTGACATGTATTGTTAAGTGACACAAGTATTGTGACATGTATTGTAAAGTGACTCCAGTATTGTGACATTTATTGTAAAGTGACTCAAGTATTGTGACATGTATTGTAAAGTGACTCCAGTATTGTGACATGTATTGTAAAGTGACTCCAGTATTGTGACATGTATTGTAAAGTGACTCTAGTATTGTGACATGTACTGTAAAGTGACACAAGTATTGTGACATGTACTATAAAGTGACACAAGTATTGTGACATGTATTGTAAAGTGACTCCAGTATTGTGACATGTATTGTAAAGTGACTCCAGTATTGTGACATGTATTGTAAAGTGACTCCAGTATTGTGACATGTATTGTAAAGTGACTCCAGTATTGTGACATGTATTGTAAAGTGACTCCAGTATTGTGACATGTATTGTAAAGTGACACAAGTATGTGACATGTATTGTAAAGTGACTCAAGTATTGTGACATGTATTGTAAAGTGACTCAAGTATTGTGACATGTATTGTAAAGTGACTCAAGTATTGTGACATGTATTGTAAAGTGACTCCAGTATTGTGACATGTATTGTAAAGTGACACAAGTATTGTGACATGTATTGTAAAGTGACTCCAGTATTGTGACATGTATTGTTAAGTGACTCAAGTATTGTGACATGTATTGTAAAGTGACACAAGTATTGTCATATGTATTGTAAAGTGACCCAAGTAATGCAACATGTATCGTAAAGTGTCTTTTCTCTCAAGTATTGCAGTATGTACTGATATGCAAGCAAGGTGTATCATGATATCCTGGCTAACATTATGTTATTAATAAACATGAAACAGTTTTCAGGCACAGCCAACCCACATAACACACCTTCAAATGAGAGATTTCTTCTTTGTTTTTGACAAAATGACAATTCCGACTCCAGGTGAGAACACTGCCACCAACCCACTGATATGAATATACTTAGGGTCATACTATCCACTGCTTCACCTGAGTCATGTAAACTAGAATTACTCTGAATGACATGCACACATTTCTCTCTCTCACCTTGAGTGCCAGTAAGCTCTTGTTAATCTCAGCTCCTTCCATTCTTGTCTGTCTGTCAGAACTCGACGTGTCAGCACCTCGTTCATTTCCTAAAAACATATCAGAATGACATTCATTGATAAAGTAGCAAAGCCTGTTTACAGATTTAGGTGATTTACCTCAAAAACACTCTACCACAAGCGTTCACTCCCAGAAACCAAATGATCAAGGAAGCCTATGTGCATCAAACAATCAACGAATGACATTTGAGAGTACACTGATCTGTTGACAAGGGTAATAATGGTGTAGGGCTTTGAGCATACACTTGTTAGTGGAATATAGCGCATTATAAATATACTGTATTATTATTTTTGAACTCACCCGCCAGATCTATCAATGAGAACTTTCCAAATAGCTTGTTGTTATTCCTGAAAGAGAAGAATGGTAGGCATTTAGCTGAAATTGTAGACATATTATTTGATAGAAGTATTTTATGAAATGATTCATTACCATGTTGCAACGTGTAACAGTTGGATTTATCCAGCATTGGAGTGAACGTGATCACTGAAAGAACACATCTAACACCGAACTACTGCATCATGCAGAAGGTGAAATCAATATTGTCTGCTTACCTTTTCCTGAGAATAATCTGAAAAACCGCATGTGATCGAGAAGAATGCTGGTTTGCAGAAGTCGTACCCGATGTTCTATAAAAGTGTGAAAGAATGTCTCAATAAATATAAGAATGATACTATGCACATCAAATCTCATTATTCACATAATCATCCCCACTCCAATATTGCCTATCTCTATATCTATCACCAGCCTACACCTCACCTTCAAAAACTCACACACCCTCTCCCCTAACAACACACCCTCTCCCCTAACAACACACCCTCTCCCCTAACAACACACACCCTCTCCCCTAACAACACACCCTCTCCCCTAACAACACACTCTCTCCCCTAACAACACACCCTCTCCCCTAACAACACACCCTCTCCCCTAACAACACTCCCTCTCCCCTAACAACACACCCTCCCCCCTAACAACACACCCTCTCCCCTAACAACACTCCCTCTCCCCTAACAACACTCCCTCTCCCCTAACAACACACCCTCCCCCCTAACAACATCCGCTCTCCCCTAACAACACACCCTCCCCCCTAACAACACACCCTCTCCCCTAACAACACTCCCTCTCCCCTAACAACACTCCCTCTCCCCTAACAACACACCCTCCCCCCTAACAACATCCGCTCTCCCCTAACAACACACCCTCTCCCCTAACAACATCCGCTCTCCCCTAACAACACACCCTCCCCCCTAACAACACACCCTCTCCCCTAACAACACACCCTCTCCCCTAACAACACTCCCTCTCCCCTAACAACACACCCTCCCCCCTAACAACATCCGCTCTCCCCTAACAACACACCCTCCCCCCTAACAACACACCCTCTCCCCTAACAACACACCCTCTCCCCTAACAACACACCCTCTCCCCTAACAACATCCGCTCTCCATTCACAGCCACCTCTCCACTGTCCTCGCATCCTCCCCTCCCACATCACATAAGCCTCATCCATCATCACCCCTAAACCTGACCATCCATCGTCATGGTGATCTAGGTCACAATAGGTCCCCAGCAGCCTATGCTGGTTGTAAGAGACAACCATATGGATTGGGTGGTCAGGTTCAGTGAGTTGGATGGTTGTGTTTCATCGTACCCTGACAGTGTTGGACTATGTTTATAATATATACTATCAATTACTAGTTTGTCTGGTACAGACTTCAATACTTACAGGTCACTGTCATACATGGGAATATCACTGTGTGCAGCATTTAACTCAAAACAAACACACACCTTCTCCTCTTAAAATAACCTTAAAAGAATTTCACTCTCAATTACACATCCGTTCCCTGCTCATGAGGCCTCTGCCCTCACATAATCCCCCTCCCCTCACCTACACTCATCTAAGCACATTCCGACAGCTGGCCCACCTGACATTGTTCCCATTGCTGGATGAACTGTAGCACCTCCTCTGCCCTCACATAATCCCCCTCCCCTCCCCTCCCCTCCGCACCTACACCCATCTAAGTACAGCACATTCCGACAGCTGGCCCACCTGACATTGTTCCCATTGCTGGATGAGCTGTAGCACCTCCTCTGCCCTCACATAATCCCCCTCCCCTCACCTACACTCATCTAAGCACATTCCGACAGCTGGCCCACCTGACATTGTTCCCATGCTGGATGAGCTGTAGCACCTCCTCTGCCCTCACATAATCCCCCTCCCCTCACCTACACTCATCTAAGCACATTCCGACAGCTGGCCCACCTGACATTGTTCCCATGCTGGATGAGCTGTAGCACCTCCTCTGCCCTCACATAATCCCCCTCCCCTCACCTACACTCATCTAAGCACATTCCGACAGCTGGCCCACCTGACATTGTTCCCATGCTGGATGAGCTGTAGCACCTCCTCTGCCCTCATATTATCCCCGTCCCCTCCCCTCCACACCTACACTCATCTAAGCACATTCGGACAGCTGACCCACCTGACATTGTTCCCATGCTGGATGAGCTGTAGCACCTCCTCTGTACTCTGCACCACCTCCTCCTTCAAGCCCACGACCTGCACCTGCTGTTTGTGGTCCTCGAGAACTCGCAATTTTAACTTCTTGTTTAGAAGGTCAAACACCTGTGGTAATAACAAGGTACATTAGTAAGCAAATCTGCAGTACTGTTACTGTTAGTATCTGCATGAGACATTGGTTAGACATTCTTCACAATAACACAAGCTACAGACGCAAAATACCTATAGGAGTAATTAAATAGGATAAAATGGGTTCAACGGTAATGGCATGGCTAGTGACACACTCTGTCAAATAGATTCGACAGTAGCATTGAGAGCTTTAAATAAACAATTGTAGCTAAGACCTTTTTTTGGAATGGGACCCTGGTATCCAGACTGGGCCGCCTCCCATCCACCAAAGCAATCTTAGCACCGAGACAGTTGCTCTTCCCATACTTTAACACATTAGATTAGGTGAGGTGAAATTGGGTTTAACGTCGCGTCCAAGATTATTGCACTTATATAGCGACGTGCATGCACGTGTGTGGCTGCTTGTACTAGTCCGGACTGATGCCGATTTATAGTGCTAGCTCACTGAGATACCATGCCGCAGTTTAACATGAATACCCCGCTCAGACACAGTATACTGACTCCGAGCCGACCAGTCCTTGTTTTAGCCCCTTAATGCCGAGCGCCAGACAGGGTAACAACAAGTACAATCTTTTAACGTCTTTTTGTATGACGCGGCCCGGGATCGAACCCTGGACCTTCCGCTCTCCGGGCGGACGCTCTACCACTAGACCACGGAGGCGGTCACATTAGATTAACGTCAATCGAGGAGCAAAGTTTGCTTTGAGGAATTGGACTCTGGTACTGACAGGTACAAACAGAGATGACATGGATTTGTACCATATGTATCTGAATTTTAAGGATCGTTATTCATTTAAAGGCAAAAGAGTGCTGAGAACAAGTCAGGTAACTCTTACCTTCCCACTGTATATTTCAAAGAAGCTGGCCCCCACAGTCAGATCAAGTTTCTTGAATTTGGAGTGAATAAGTTTGAAAACGTCTTTGGCTGAAATCAAGTAATAACATATGAATATAACCAAACATATAAGTTGCAAAACACCTTTGTGCCGCACCACACAAGACAGGTACATAATTTTGAGTTGGTTTAACACTGCATGGAACACTATTGCAGTTATATCATGGCGTGTCAGCGGAGTGAGGAAAGTCCGAAATGATGCAGGTCTCAGACATTGCCACTTTTGGGAAACCCATGAGCACCTAGAAACATAATGGGGTGAACCAGGATTCGAACCCAATTGCTACTTCTTCTTTTTTGTCAAATTGGCTCTTTGGAAATAAGGTATAAGTATGTCATTGCCAAAAGAGTGATGATTGATTCAGAATCATTTTCTTTGCACAGACATAAAATAATTTCACTTTGACTTGGCTCAAAGCCAAGTTCAAGAAATCACAGTATGGTTTTTGTACATGTTGTAAACTTGTCTATAAAGATTCTCTCAGAGCTCAAAGAGCTAAAAGGGAGCAAAATCACACAACACATGTCATCAAGAAAATTCACTGATATCTTATCAAAACAAATTAATATACAATTAACAGTTCTTGTGTATTCATTGTAGTTAAAGTTAAAACATAAACATCAGTTTAACCATATATACATCCCTATATGTCCTACCTGCTAGGAGATATATTCCTTTTGAGCAGTCCTGCTGTCCTTTTGCAGAAAAATCTCCTCCCATCGTCTGTAAAGAAACCATAAGGTCAATCCTACAGTCTGGCATAAAATATGCTTCAGCCAGGAGCATTTCACAAGGTCAATGCTGTATGAAGATGCTTAACTAGTCACTTTTCAGTACAAATAAAGTCACATATTTCTCCAGTCCTATGGTAACATATATACAATTTCTACTACCCTCATCTTCTGCCACTGATGCCATGACTCACATGTGTTTTTCCACTGCCCGTCTGCCCATAAGCAAAACAAGTAGCCATCCCTCCTTCAAATATACATTCCACCAAGGGCTTGGCCGTGTACCTGTTGAGAGAAGCATGCTATCAGTCTTGACAGAAAAGTATTTATTTGTTTGTTTGTTGTTGAAAGGCCACACTCAGCAATATTCCAGCTATATGACAGCAGTCTGTAAATAATCGAGTCTGGACCAGACAATCCAGTGATTAACATCATAAGCATCGATCTACACAACTGGGATACGATGACATGCATCGACCAAGTAACCGAGTGACCACTCAATCCTGTTAGCATCACATCTTACAACAAGCATGGGTTGCAGATGCAGAAGACCTATTGTAACTAGGATCTTCACAGGTTGACAACAAGTGACCAAGTAACCGAGTGACCACTCAATCCTGTTAGCATCACATCTTACAACAAGCATGGGTTGCAGATGCAGAAGACCTATTGTAACTAGGATCTTCACAGGTTGACAACTAGTGAGACCAGACATATCAACCCCATTCTGAGGCAATTCTGGGATAACTGGAAAGTAAGATTACCAAATTTGTAAAAAGAAAGTTATCACCATGAGAATGTATATTCCAGTTATATCACGGCAACGAGTAAATAATCAAGCCTGAGTCTGACCAGGCATTATTATTGAATGCTGTCTAAGTTGATGTCTCATGCTGATGTCCTTCACAATTTGACTTTCTAGCTGGTACAGACCTGTAGACCATTTCGTTGGTGACTGAATCGTCGAAGGCGTAGTCAAATCGGAATGACTGGTTTTCCAGGTACTTGGTGAGGTCAACCTTGAGCTTGGGTTCATGGACGATAGTGTTTTCCTTGTTTGGAATGGTGACGACGTCCACCTCCTTCCTCCCGGTCTCTGCAAGGCCATGAGGGAATACAGGGTAAGAGTAAGTAGCCTGAGTTGCTGCTTGGATTACCAAAATGTGTGGTTAGATTGCAGTATATCAGATACCTTCCACCATTTGGGTAAGGAATGTGCACAAGCTCCTGCCTTCGCAACAGTTTTTAAGTTGAACAGCCATCTTGCTACATTAACAAAGCCATCCCAACAAGTCCTTGTAATAAAAGGTTTCGGAAGTTAATGTCACTGTCAGTTACCAAGGTTAATGAAAATTACAACATGTTTGTTGAAAAAAAATGTATGAAAGTGATGCGGTTATCGCACGCCATTATTGATGTGTGATTTCTTATCTTTGTGGATATTGCTTTGATATTCAATTTTGAGGTTTAATCATATCAAACCGTACAAATGCAAGCAGGAAAATTTGTTCTGCTCATTTTGAGGTTTTTCCCTTCATTTCTCAAATACTCACGCTTTCGTGTGTCACTTTATTAGAAGCATCCAACAAACCAATCATCCATGAAGCCAGAGTACCAGATTTGTGTGTAATGCCCTATCAAATGTGAAACTAGTGAGCCTTGGTGTATGTGAGGGCCCGACATAAGGCATGTAAACTTAGAAACAGATTTGACCTGATGTAGCTACGTCTGAGAGTGTCTCAAGCCCTTAAACTAGTAATGCTTGCCCTTGGCAGACGAGTGAGTAATCGTTCACACAATAAAACAAAAGTAATACACAACAGAATATATATATAAACTATGTGAGCCTCTCACATTTCTTTATGCAGCCACATCAATAAATGACCAGAAATTCCATCATATCACGCAAAGAAGGAAAACTGCAAACCACATTCAAGTTTAATAATACTGCATTACAGGGATTAGATTCTTACACCGTTATCAAGCTGTCACTGCAGCTTGATAACGGTGAAAGAATCTACATCCAAACGTTGTTTCTTTATTGCTGCACTCGGCAATATTCTACAGTGCGGTCTGGACCAGACAATCCAGTGATTAACATCATGAGCATAGATCCCTTCAATTGGAATACGATGACATGTATCAACCAAGCCAGCGAGCCTGACCACGCGATCCCATTAGTCGCCTCTACCACTAGCATAGTCGCCTTTCGCGGTAAACATGGGTTGCTGAAGACCTATTCTATCCCGGATCTTCACAGGTCAAAGAGACACATACAATGGGTCCAAACTAATCTACCAATGTCATACAAACCTTTCTTCGTCAGCGGTCGCTTCCTGACACATACACTGATCTGATGGTTCTCTATCGGGTCAGATGATGTGATTGGTCGATACTCAAGGTTACCTCGATAGTTACTGGAATAACAAATATATGTTAGATCGTGAAAAAACAAGAATCACTTTGTTTCACATTTGAACATTCATTTGTACATGTTGTATGGGAAAATTAATTACAATTTAATGAGTTCTGTAAAATATTCAATTTTAGCGAGCTGGTGACTTGAAATGCATACAATATCTCCACAAAATGTCAGCTGTGTGGAGTTTCCTGTTAGTTGGAATATATGTGTGCTCTTCGTCTCGTCACAACACTTGAGTACCAATGAATAAAAAGTTGGCACATTAAATCTGGGTTGGTGGGGTAATCAATACCACATCATATCCTACTTTAGGCCTAATTAGGGCCTGGAGCAGGCAAACAGGTGGATGATAGAGTGTGCATCGATGTATACCATCAGCTGTATCAAACCACCCTGTCACCAGTCTGGGTCCTATGCACACTTGCCAGCAATCATTTGGGCCCAGTTCAAACAAACCAATCATAAGACCACCTTAACCATGTTAACTCCAATACTTGAACTGAAACAGACTTTATACTCTGCAGGCATAACGACCATCCAATACCCATATAAGAACGCTCTTATGACAAGACAGATATCAATGTCACTTTGAACTGAGGTGTTCGTGTTAATGTTGTTAACTATGTGTTAGGAATATCGAAGATATACAATTTGCATCCTGTCATAGCAGGACAGTAATAATATGAACTACTACGGAGACTTTTAAGGACCTTTTCTGGGGCTATTCTAACAACCTCTTACTCCACTGCATGTGACCTACTTGATCATTGCGTTAAACGCCCAGTTGGGGTCAGAAGTGTCGTAGTTCTTCTCGTTCACCTCCTTGATTGCCTGCTGTGCTGCTCGTCTGTCTTCTCGGCGCTTCTGAATCATTTCCACCTCCTTCACACAATTTGACTTCCGCCGTCCTGTCACAAAACATCGTGGCTTGAAACAAGTTCAGTTTACATCTTGCAATTTTGTTGACATGCCTGTTGAATCCCCGATTGTCCTCAGTGTGCAGCATTCCCAATTACACTAATGATGGCTGTCACTGACTGAACCACTATTTTGAACAAGGAAACTTGGGGTCTATAGGCTACATGGTATACACATCAACTGTGTCCTTCCTACTTGACAAAGGTTAGATGCAAGATGTTGACAATGGGTAAGGGGTATTGAACACTACTTACCGTATTCGACGTAATAAGTGCCCCGTTCTCATAAGCGCCCACTGTGATATTTGCTAATATATTGGCTAGTGAACAATCCCAATTATCATCCCTTCCAATTGATCAATGAACACAAGATTTATTTATTTGTGTATAATATGCACTCGTGTGTTATATGCACCCTTAATTATGGGCAATTAAATTCGGGAAGATATATCTGTCATGCATAATACGCACAGACTTTTCTTCTGTATCATTTCAGGCTGTCAGCATAAACCACGAAATTTACGATCTTTCAACTCTTTTTTTCTCTCTCACCAAAATTATATTCTAATAAGAGCCCCCTATTTCTCATTTTGAGAGCGCCCTGGGCGGTTATTATGTCGAAATGGTAAGTCACAAGATGATCATGGGCAGATGAGGGACTGACTCAGGTGACATCAAAGGTGTCTGAAAACATGGAGGTGCAACCCCCTGCACAAATCATTTCTCCCACTGGATACGCCAATGTGAAAGAGTAAGAATTATGAGGTCAGACATCAAAATCTGGAATAAGAAACCAAGGACAGAGTTTGTATTATGTCCAGAAATTACAACCTAAGAAGTCTTCTGAACTTATCACATAAAACATACTTCACTCCTTGGCATGTATCCAGGGACGAGAATGGATATTTTCCTTTTCAGCTGAAATTCTTTGCAATAGAGTGTGGTCCATAATTTGGGGGTGTTTATGGGGGGAAGCCATCAAATTTGTGGTCGCTTAAATTTGTGGATCCGCAGAAGATTTTCACCCCTGTGTATCATGAAATATTGGAACTTTTTGTTTGTTTGTTTGTTTGTTTGTTTGTTTGTTTGTTTGTTTGTTTGATGCTTTCTGCCGCACTCAGCAATATTCCAGCTATATGACAGTGGCCTGTAAATAATCAAGTCTGGACCAGACAATCCAGTGATTAACATCATAAGCATCAATCGATGCAATTGGGATTTGATGACATGCATCAACAAAGTAGCTGAGTCTGACCACCTTATCCTGTTATGTTAGTTCCCTCTCACGACCACCATACCCTGCTGGGGAGCAATTATAACCCGGCATCCCCAAGGGGTAACACAGCAAGTGACGAGATTGAGCAGCCACCACTGGAACACCATGCTGCAAATCAGGTGGCATCCAGCTTTCCCTGATATCTACTGATATTCAATTTGGATCCCATTTGGTTAAAATATTTCAAAGGGGTCAGTTTAATCATTAGAGCCCAGAAGAGGTAATTAGAGTTGCTATGGATGCTGTTCATGTGAATATTTAACCATGGTTAATCATGGATCCACGAATTGATTTTTAAAATCCCTGGGATGTTGAGAAAAGATTACTAGATAGTCTTCAGCCAATGGTATTTCTAAAACCACTGCACATAGGCCAAGCATTTTCACTAAAGATCACGGACCATATCCTAGTGCACACTTAGCACTTTTACAGCTCAAGGAAATCTCCAGGCAAATGCCAAAAATTTAGTAAGTTTATCACCTAAATTTCAGCTAAGCATAAAATGTGATGAGTGATGCAGAAGTTTACAGAGTCTACCCATCATGACCACAGGTACAGAGTGTTCCCTGTTTGATGACTGCGACACAGGACACTGACCCCCAAGTTTCTTTCCATCATCCTTGCCATCTGGCACTGGTATGGACTGATCCACCTTCCCATTCTGGGCAGCTGCAGGACGTGCTGCATAGCTGGGCCGAGACCTGGCAGAGGACACTGGAACACCATCAACAGACATAGGTCAACTCATGCTTACAGAAAGAAACATGCTTGTACAATATTTGAACGCATTTTAGAGCTTTTTGTTCAGCTCTCACCCAAATAATATATATGGCCAAATGTTTAGTTTATTTCACAGACTAGATTATATTTTTTTATAAAAGTTTTATTGGAGTGAGTGAGTATGGTTTTACACCACTTTTATCAATATTCCAGCAATATCACGGCAGGGGACACAAGAAACTGGCTTTACACATTGTACCCATGTCGATAATCGAACCCAGGTCTTCTGCATGACGTGCAAAAGCTTTAACCACTAGGCTTACTGACCGCCCCTAAGTCTTACTGGACAAAAATGCTTTCTTTTGAAAAACATCCAAACTTGCTGATTCAGCTTTAAAATCGACTTCCTCACTGCAATCAAACCTCAATACATTAATTGCCATTGTCTCTTATATAATATCACACATGAGTGGACACAAATAAGCAATATTGATATGTCTTATGCCTGAATACACAGAATCTAAACAAAGAATTTTGGAATTGCCTATCATAGCTCACATTCATAATAAACTATCTAAGGTCTATCTTGTTGACATCTCACCTTTATTAGATGATCTGGCATTGTCACGGTCGCCAGTTCCACCCAAGGATTTGTTACTCTGGAAAACCATAATACATGCATATGATAGGGATGAGCATCAGAGGTGTACAGTGTATTGATCACAATATTTGGCTATGCACAAGACCGTTCTGGGATACGTATCACGATATATTGTAGAATTCTAAACATTGAATTCAGGACAGCACTGCCATATTTGCATCATCAATTTTCTACACCTCGAGTATGCCTTTCACATTTGAAACAATTGACCACATCGACATCTTAGGGCCCCGGATGTTTATGATGGAAGTGAATGCACATCCACATAAGGGAGGTGAGGTGAGGTACAATGGGGTCTAAGGTCGCCTTTAAGATTAACATGAATACCCCCCAGACACAGAATACTGACTCTGAGCCAACCAGTCCTTGTTATAGCCCTTTAATCCTGAGCGCCAGGCAAGGTAAGAACAAGTACCATCTTTTAACGTCTTTTGGTATGATGCGCCCAGGGATCGAACCCCCGGCGTTCCTCTCTCCAGGCAAATGTTCTACCACGAGAGTATGGAGGCAGTCACATAAGGGAGGTAACTTAGAATTAACCTCTATCTTTGCAAACTTGCACTGTGAAATTACGGAAACATTTCAAAGGTATTTGTCAAGTGTATAACATTAATTACATGATAAAAATCGCTATTTGACATCACCCAATATACTGGCACATTAAAAACAATGTTGTGTCAATGTGATACATATCGTGGAAAGAACGAACCTCAATTTACCAATATACCAGTAATACAGCGCACCCTTAACATATGACATTGGAAATCACCCTAGATCCACTAGATCTTGTATATCATACCTCAATTCCATTGAGATAAATACCCATGAACCATTCACCAGCACAGGCATCATTCTCATTAATAACACTATCTCCATCTTTTATCTCTAACTTTCAGAATTTCTCCTGCTCGATGACCTTGAAGAAAACAATTCCTCTGAATGAGAAATAATAATACTGTTATAAATGAATATTCATATTGGGAGGACAGTTCTAATTTTGCCTGGTGTTCCAAATTTGTTTCTTTGAGAACTTTGTTGTTTAATAACAATATTCCTGCAACATGATGGCAGTCTGTACATAATCCAGTCTGACAATACAGTGCTTGACATCACCAGCATCGATCTTAACAACTGGGATACGATGACATGCTGTCTGGTGTTGTTAAGAATAAGATAATACTTATGTATCATGAAGCAAGTGTCATCATTGATTGATTGTCTATTTGCAGCCTCATGTCAATTGAAAGAAACTCAAAACAGTTTATGGTGGCAAATGGGTCAAGTGTATTTATCAAAACAGACTGGAGATACAGAACAAGGAATAACTGTGCATCCTGCTAGGTAAACTGCTGGAAGTGAACACAACAGGCAAACAATTCAGTCTCAAAACAAGGAGACATATTTCAGTTTTCCATTCTACTAATATCCCTTTCTTTTAACACAAACACATTAAAATGTTGTGGCTCAAAAATGGTAACCGATTCCCAATAATTTACAGGCCTTTCAATTAAATTCAACGAAAACATAACTTTTCATTCGTATAACATTAAAATGTCAACTATGCAAAACGACAATTATACTTAAGCCATAATTATCAGAACCACAACATATTTCTAAACCATTATCACAACGATTCAAAAACAACATTATTAACATATACATTTAAAATATACACCTCTCAATGACATAATGAAAAGGCTTTAAAAACTAGAGAAAATGTGATCATCATAAGCTGGTCAGGACTGTAATTAAAACCTAACAATGCAATGATGTAAAATTCATAATATACTAAGTCAAACCTCGTGTCGACTTCCTGGCTGTCTGGAACTCATTTGGGAGTCCCAAATATCCAAAATGTTCCTGATGTCTCAAAACCCAGATAACTCAAACTTTTTTTCAGGTACCCACAACACGAGGTTCGACTGTATTTAAAAGAAGTTAAGGAACACCCAACTCTTTCAAACAATAATAGTTAATCTGTCATGACATGCCATATCAACTAAAGTTTTTTTAGTCATATGGCAGAATCGAATATTCTGGAACTTCTTCTAAGTAGTATAAAAGCTGAAAGTGAAATTCTACATCAAACAGATTCTAAAATACGCACCACAACGGAACTACGCATGCTGCAAAAAATGACTTAAACACAAACTACATATGACTTTACCATATTGCCCATACCGGGGCCTGGACGTCATCATTCCGTGCAATCTATTCCCACTACACATACGTATATCCATCACACACCCGTTCCTAAAGCTGCACCTAAAGTCACTCATGATAGTATTGTGGTGTGAGGTGACACAACAAAAAGGTGGTGAAACAATCAATACGCTCATGCAAGCACAACCTTTGTTATTGTTTAACTGAAACAACTTGTCCAAACACATTAATTATTGACTCTATTATGACTTGGGACGGGTGTTGCCCTTATCATAAACATCGCCTGCGGCCTTGTCGTTATATATGAGACATCTCAAAAACAAAGTTGCACATAGATTTTGTTGCTTGGGTTGTTTTTTTTCTAACAATGTACATAGAAACATGTGTTTATGGCTTGTGTGATCATGATGATGCCATAGTTTCAACAGGGTCAATAAAAATAAACACCAATCACTACGAACATGATGGAAAGATCACTTCATCCATAGGATGTTTTAAAAAATAACTCAAAGATTAACCATCTTCTCATAAATAAATTCAATAAAAATCAAAATAAATTGAAGAAACATTAAAAAGAAAATATCTTCAACTTGTTAAAGTTACTATCAAACAAAGTACATGTTTCTCACAATATACCTATTAGGCCAGACCAATTATTTTAAGATAAATTTTCCCCAAATTTTTTTTGTGTTAAATTACATGAAACGTAAAATGCTGTGTATTTTTTGCAAATTTTACAATGCAAGAGATCTGTTTTCATGTTTATCGAAATTAAGCTCATATTGCCTGACAAGATTTTCAACAAGGTTAATTATCGTTTTTATTCTCTCGCTTGCCTCTTGGCATATTGACCACAAAAATCTATAAAACAAGAGATTATACTGGTCTGGCCTAACAAAACATACACTCTTATCAATCAATCAGTCTATGCCTTGAGAGCAGCTATAACTAGTATAAGGTCAGGTAAAGAGAAATTCAAAACCATCGATCAATATCAATGCGACATGATACATATTCTCTTATATAGCGGCATTCATATGGCCTTCACAGAAGACATCAGGTAACACTTCTTCTGCCAAAAAAAAAAATCAATCTTATCGATGCTATGGTTTACCATGAATCAATCCCATCAATGCAAGCATGATGGCGATGGCTGGAACATGTGATGAAGACAGTCCATGCAAGACCACATCCACAAAAGAACTGAACTAAACAGAAGGGGATGAACTGGAGATGGGGAGTGTCTCGGCAAGCAGGGTGATGGGTGATGGGCAATGGGTGATGGGCCGTTGCCATGAATAAACTCCCCCGACACCAACAGCAAGGCTTCATTCCTCATTCACTTTCTACTGAGCTAGATTCTTGGATGTAGATAATGGAACATTGAATTTTGGAAAATAGTTTCGGACCTCTTTATTTCTTTGTTCCACTTGGTAATAGGGCTGTGACGATTCGTAGTGATATACTACTCAAAAGAAGTCATAGACAACCGATTCAAATTATAGATAATTTGGCTTTCAGAATTGGGTTTTCTTTATTTTCTTTTGAGAAGTATACACATTTTTTAATAATGGTTGAAATACGTGCAAACTACACTACGACTTCACTTCCTGCCAAATAACATGCTGTTCTTATCATAATAATGAAGCCCGTATAATTTTGGATTGATACATGACCATACATGACGATCGTTTCAGCCCTAGGTTGTCGTGGAGGCGAGGTCATCATTCTGCATTGTAGCTATGACGCCAGTGTTTTTGGCAACTTTTAACTATTCATGATTTCAAAACACTAATCACTGATTTGTCTTTACAAATATACTCTTTAGATCTTTACTCTTATTAAAAGTGCTTCCATTGTCTGTCAGTATCTCACTTATCCCCTATCTACACCCATGGAGGCATGCACTACCCAGACGTGAGCCAGTGTAAGACGAACGGAACCAGCCAACCAAGGAGAGACGGCAGGCGTGATGCAGCAGGGCAACGCTACCTTGGCTCCGAGGCGCGAGATCTTACTGGGCTGGGCTAGGCGGGAGCTAGCAGAGGGGGGCAAACCCTGCTGGGCCTGGGGGTCCTGCTCGGCAGGATTGTTATCACTAGTACTAGGTTCATCTTCATCCTCGTCCTCATCATCAGGATCCAAGTCAGGTTCTTCTTCAGGCTCTTCCTGGGAGTTACAATTTACATTTAACCTTTCTACTTGAAATATGTTCAGCATTAGAAATTGGCACTAGTCCTGTAGTCCTTACCAAACTGCCCAATAGTAAAGGTATCCTAAGGACTAGTAGAAATTGGCCCATTTTAAGGGTTTTGCTATATGTTATCATCATAAGGACTAGTGGACAAAAACTGTTAGTTTCTAACCCTGATGTTCATAAAACCCTTCTAGTTGAACAAATAACATTAACCTTACTCTTTGAACAATGTTCATTAAACTCTTCTACTTGAACAATGTTCATTAATCCTTTCTCCTTGAACAATCGTCAACATCTGAAAATCTTAAGTACTGAAAGACCACTCCATTATCAGCTCCGTGGGAAACATGAAAGGTTTGGCTAAAGGGAGACGTTACCCCCAATCCTGAATGTAACCTAAACCAAATACCAGAGCTCAGAAATCCTGTATTTAATGCAACTCCCTCTTAGTGAAGACATAAAATTGTAGCCTGTGAAATGTAATTAAACTTAACAAGACATACATCATGATACATGCAAACTATCAAACTATCACAGTTCAGTGGATCCTCAGTACATTCATACTTGTCAGCCATTGTGACCACACAATACCAATAATGCTGATTTTAACAAGCAATGGCAATGGGCCTCAGTCCACAAAGTGATCTCAGCATCACGATGACAGTAAGCCTACATTAAAGTATGGGACTTGCGATCACCTTAGCAGTAAGATTGCTTTGTTGAACAGATACCTGGGGACTACTCTATCCCAAACACTAAGCTACTCCTCTTCCACACTGAAGACACACAGTAAGGGAATGATGCATTATATGATGTAATCCTCTGATCATGTCAGTTCACACAGCCTCAGAGTCAGTTAAATACATTCAGGATTGATTACGTCCCTCATAATTTACTTTGGACTTGTCCTATGTATCATACATTCTCTTGGTGAGTAAAACATGATGGTCAGGAATCAAACATAACAAATAACATTGTACCATGACCAGACATAACTATACCCCTTAGTTTCTATATTAATAATCCCCTTATTCTCAATGTTAATCATCCCCTTATTCTCAATGTTAATCAGCCCCTTATTCCCATATTCTCCATGTTAATCAGCCCCTAATTCTCCATGTTAATCAGCCCAATATTCCCTAATTCTCCATGTTAATCAGCCCCTTATTCCCTAATTCCCCACATTAATCAGCCCCGTATTCCCTAACTCTCCATGTTAATCACCCCCATATTCCCTAATTCTCCATGTTAATCAGCCCCTTATTCCCTTATTCTCCATGTTAATCAGCCCCTAATTCTCCATGTTAATCAGCCCCTAATTCTCCATGTTAATCAGCCCCTTATTACCTAATTCTCCTCATTAAACAGCCCTTTTTTCCCTAACTCCCTGTATTAATCGGCCCCTTATTCCCCACGTTAATCACCCCCATATTCCCTTATTTTCCATGTTAATCAGCCCCTTATTACCTAATTCTCCTCATTAATCAGCACTTTTTTCCCTAACTCCCTGTGTTAATCAGCCCCTTATTCCCTAATTCCCCACGTTAATCAGCCCTTTATTCCCTAAATCTCCATGTTTATCAGCCCCTTATTCCCTAACTCTCCATGCTAATCAGCCCCTTATTCCCTTATTCTCCATGTTAATCAGCCCCTTATTCCCTTATTCTCAATGTTAATCAGCCCTTAATTCTCCATGTTAATCAGCCCATTATTCTTCATGTTAACAAGCCCCTTATTCTTGTTTCTCAGCAGAATCATCAGCAGCCCCTTATTTGCTGTTGATAGTGTACAAAAACTTCTGAATAAAACTACAAAACACAGCAATACTATCAAATTACTAACAGTACTACTACTGTTTAATTCATACAGACAACTACAGCGTTAGAATGGGCAATAGTCCTATAGTCCTTGCCAAACTGACCAATAGTTAAGGTGTCATTAAGACTCGTAGACATTAGCCATTTGTAAGGCATCGCAATATGTTATCATCATAAGGACAAGTAGATTCAAAGTGTTAGTTTCTATAGCTGAACTATTGACAATTACAGTGGATAGCCTTGGTCTTGTACAGCTATAGTCTATTTCCAAGTTTTCACATCTTCCACAACTATTTAGTCCTTGCTAATCATGCTTACAGCAGCATCGATATGATGGCGGTCCATAAATCATCTGGACCAGACAAACTAGAAACTGATATTATGTGCAAAGTTCCACACCATTGTCAAGGTATTGTGACACACAATTTACCAAGTGAAACTGTAAATCATGAGTCATATAGTGCCACAGTTAGTGTGAAGTCCAACGATAGGAAACATAGATTTACAGTGCATACAACAGAAAAACAGAATGCCTTCATCAAGAAAGACAGCATTAGAATTCAACTTTATTACAAGTATGACCATTAGTGTTGTGAAACGGTTAGGATTTTATCATTAATCATTGGTCATAAATGGTTTGTTCCGACCGATCAATTAATTATCAGTACATCACTAACCACCAAAGAAAGTCATTACCATTAACATTGCAAAGATAACAACTACACAGTAAGGAGGAAGAAGAAAACAAATAGCTCTTGTTCAAACTCAGGCAATGACTTTTGAAAAATGGGTGCAAATGGGTTGGGTGTTTTTCAAAAAGAGTGAAAAATTGTCTTACCCAGGTGCCACAATTTAGGTCTTTCTGTTTCAAAACAAACAAGATACTGGTATGTGGGAGAATTGATTCAGTCAAGCTCAGAACCAACCCTATTATTATCTAGCCATTTTTGGACACTTCTTATTTTCTGTCTTTCGTAAATGAAGAGACCAATATGAGATGGTGCAATAGTCATGATAGTGCTTAATCTTCATCTTCCCGAGGCAAGGGAGTTAACTAACTTTAAAAGTCCAGTTTCCACCATTGCCTAGGTAGGCTGGTATTTCGGAAAAATGTTTTTGCTGGACTAAAGAGTCTAAGCATAGTCCAATCAAAATCGTGTAACGAAATTGGCATCCTGTTTGTAAACAACATAGCAACCAGTGTGCCATGGTGTGCAAATTTCAGCCAACTACAGCATGTGTACCATCAACTGGGCGTCAACAGATATTTTCAAAATCTTTTCATGTTTTCAATCACCATACTCCAGTGATATGCTTTAATCCACATGCACTGGGTGTCTGAGACGGAATGTGAAACTTTTCTTGGATTAACTTGACCAGATCGTCTTGACAAGACACCGCCATTTTGATTGAAACAAATGCCAGTGATACGGGAGGTGGAATCTGATAGGTGGGACACAGAAGGGACATAACTCATAATAACCACTGGTGGCGCTACGACCAAACCACAAAATTCCAGCCTAGTTCGGCGAAGGTGGAAACTGGACTTTAATAATCAGTTAACACCCTTGCCTCGGGAAGACATTAATCTGAGAATCATACGGAAAAAATCACTACCTACAGGAGAAATAAACTGAAAGTGTATTACATGAAGTTATCTACACAAAACATGAAGTATTTACAAAACAGCAAAGTATTTGCCATAAGGTTTTTGCTACCTCAAGAATCAGATTTTATTACCATAATTCAAATTCTGAAAATTCCTCTTGCATGCTTCCATGCATTGCCATGGTTACCATTGTTATATCTTTATTGATACAGAAGATCTATCAACATGACTAAAAGTCTTCGGCCTTAAATGTCTTTATTCTGACAAAAATCCTTACAATACAAAAACAGAGGTCCTTGTTTCAATGCATAACATGACCTGTAGAGAGATCCATTACTGCAAAAAAATAAGATCAAACATGGCAAGATAATTGATATGTATATGTTCTTGATGTGATGTAAACTTACTTTGACTGACTGAGATTCCCTCGGCTTTTGTGCACTTGTAATAACATGCGGATTTAAGGCAAAGATTGCTTCCACTTCGATCTGAAACAAACAGCAAATATCAGTTCCTTTGATAATTAAATTGTTAATTGTATATGTTCTCAACATGCTCATGTCTGTCACAGATTATACCAACTTCACCTGTTCAGAAATAATCAAGTGTGGGAACTGCTTACTTCCTTTAATCAGCAACATTTAAGAGTGAAGTTTTACAAAGCAGGTAGGCAGGCTGGGCAGTATGAATTGATAAGAAAGTACACCTTCCCACAAAGCAATTGTAGCCCTACCTCATAAGCCAATGTTAAAGTATGGGGAATACGGTCAGCTTAAAGGGCAAGTTCACACGGAAATGAACCTATTTTTCTTGTACTTTTTCCACATTCAAAGTGTTAACATAGAAGTGTCATAGACAAAAATATAAAAATATCACAATTAATTAACATATTTTTCGCATTAAACGATTTATATTTTTCACATTTACCAAGTGTTCTATTTCCACAACAAAAACACCATGGCTTATGCCCCTTGCAATATGACGTCATTGGTGCCAATTGATAAACATTATGACGTCATCATGCTTATTTGGAGCCGCTTCACGTGGTGTAGGTCCAGGTGTGTGATTCTAGCGTCTCAGATGCCAGCCAGCATAGTGTTATGCTGAGTCACCACTGCGCCGGAGTGTGTCGTAGGCCATGTTGTTTTACCGCAAACTGGTACTTGATATCTTTTGCGTTGAGAATAGACAGGGACCCAGTTGAATTGGCACCAATTACGTCATAATCTAAGGGGGATAACTCAGGCCTGTTTAGCTCGAAAAACGAAGGCCTCATAACGGCATATCATTTTCACACTATTGTGAGCTTCCTACGTTCACTGTGAAAAAATCGAGTGTATATTTTCAAACACAGATACTAATTAATTCTAAAATTGCGTTTTGTTTAGAAAAAGAAAGAAAGTGATTTTTGCGTGTACACTTCCCCTTTAAGGCTATGATCGTATTGTGGAACGGAACACCAGCCTATGAAAGGTTCAAGGCTAGAAATATTTCAGAACAGGTTCAAATTGAACAGCTAGCTGTAGACATGTTCGAAGTGCTATGATCTTGAAACCCTAATTACAACACATTTTGTGATATTTAACTGACAAAAATGCTGCATGTCATTAAACGAGTAGTAAGTAATTTCTTTTAGCAAATGTATCATCTTGTATTGATGCATAAAAATATGTATCATGTATCATATCCTCACATGAAAACTCACGATGCACCAGTACCGATGTATCGCTTCACCCCTAGTACATACAAAAGTAATTGTAATTATGGTATGCCTTCAATGTTAGCTAGATGAACACACAATTTGTCGTATATGGTAAACATGTTAAAGACATTTTCACGTACCTCTTTCCCTTTTGTTTCCCCTTTCTCAAACCATTCAACAGTCACACTGCGGGACTCGAGATTCACACCGCTTATCACTGCAGAGTGAATACGCCCTGTAGAGAACAACAGCATTACATCAGGAAGCATAAAGGTTAGTTGTATGAAACTATACCAACACAGTAAACAAGGTAACAAAAATACACAACGACAACTAAAAGTTGAAAACTTCAATAAATATGAACAAGGTACAAGGTATGAACCTCAAGAATATACATCATATCATCAGCAATGACAAATTGACAATTTATTTGTATGCTGATATATTAAGCTAACTTTATTTTTTTTGTTGATTAATGCTACATGCCCAGAAATGGGCTTCAAGCATTGTACCCATGCAGAGAATCAAACCCAGGCCTTCAACGTGGCGAGTGAATGCTTTAACCATAAGGCTACCCAACTATCTCTTGTGTGAGTGAGTGAGTATGGTTTTACGCCGCTTTTAGCAATATTCCAGGAATATCACGACAGGGGACACCAGAAATGTGCTTCACACATTGTACCACTGTCGGGAATCGAAACTGGGTCTTCGGCGCGACGAGCGAACGCTTAACCACTGGGCTACCCGACCGCCCCTATCTCTTGTGTGCTTTGTATAATATGTATCATATGTATATGGTCCTGTTAATACTTGTATTGTATCGTTTAAGTAGTATCAGCATGATCAGTGATACTTGTTATACATTTGATTAAAGAGTCAACAACACTTGGGTTACAGGGATTTGACACTTAAGTCAAGCTGACATTTACTGTGTACTGTCTTCCCTGGTATCCAGCTACTAGAACTCTGCCGAGCAATGTTTGCATACTGTCATTCACTGTAGGGTATTGGGCAGCTTGATTCTCTGTTAGTCAATTTAGCCCTTGTTCTGGTATTGTACCTCGATGGTATTTAGGTCACATAGTCCCAGCTGTTGCAGTCTTAGAGGAAAATGAATGATTTATATATCATCGATGATAGATTATTAGTTAATGGACTGACATTTCAGAAGAAGCATTAATGAATCTTGAACCTAAGAAATATCCAACATGAATTAGATCATTGCAGCTTAATTTGAAAAGTAGCTTTTCAGTTGCCATAGGAGCAAAATTTACCCCAATTAACCTTTAGCCTTCTAACAAGTATATGGCATATGGCATATAAGAACTTTATCAAACATATAATAAAAAGCAGTTGTATCTGTAGCACACCCATCCTTGAATATCTAGTGTTTTATATCTACCTGTTGTAAAATTGTGGCACATGCCAAATTGATCAAAGCTCTGGACCCATTCAGAACCATAGCTTTGTCTTGAGTCAAGTTACACTGTTCTTTGGTGATTAAAACAAGCAGCGACACTCATCTAGTACTCGACTCATGGTGTGTTCCCTGTTTGAGTTTAAGTTGAGTCCTGGGATCCTCAAGGATTGCCCCTGTAGTATTGGAATCTTGCTACCCCTTAATCACTAAGTGTTAATTTCAGGACAAGGACCTCTTGACTTTTTTACCTAATTTGGAAAACACTGGAAATGCCTGCAAGCATAATTATTCCCTACCTGTAATAATACTCAAGAAACGTCTCTTTTAGATAAAAGTCTTCTGATTGGTTATAAACTTTGTTTCAAACTTGACTGAGGGCTTGGTCATATGAGGCCATTATGAATGCAGATCTATGATGAAATCTCATTTATGAAAGTCATTCTGATAAGAAGCTAATTTCAAAGTTATGAGCGAGAGACATTCAATCCTAAGTTAATGTAAAAAGGGCCGGCAATTGTGATGACGGGTCCAGGTCGTTTATAATAAAAGAATGGAAATACAGGGATTTACTAGACAGAAAATCCTGCATCCTATACCCATGAAAATGACCATCTGCAATGCGGAAAATGTGCATGTATGTTTAGACATGAATACTGCTATTTCATAATTTGGTGCCATTTAAAAAATATTTAAAAAACAATAAGTCAAATTTGCTTCACAATCTTCAAGCATTGACTCATGTAGATTTGTTTCATTTCAGGAACTCAACACCAATCATAACTAATGGCCTCCGAGCATGCGCAATCTTACATCCATTGTGGTAGAGTACTGTGTTGTCAAATTTTACATATCTCTGGACCTCCATTTTGTAACTTGAGACCCCAATTTGTTAACCTAGGCCCCTCCCAGTTGGTTTGGTTTGTTATGTTACACCGCACTCAGCAATATTACAGCTATATGACGGCGGTCTGTAAAATAATCGAGTCTGGACCAGACAATCCAGTGATTGATATCATGAGCATCGATCCACGCAATTGGGATCGATGACCTGCATCAACCAAGTCAGCGAGCCTGACCAATCGATCCCGTTAGTCGCCTTTTACGACAAGCATAGTCGCCTTTTATGGCAAGCATGGGTTGCTGAAGACCTATTCTATCCCGGAACTTCACGGGTGCCCCTCCCAGTAAAGGCTTTGAATTCTCTGGACCCTCAAAATAGATATCTCAGGTAAATCCCTGGACATAGAATACACTTGATGATCGACGACGTAGCTCACTTGACTCTCATTGAATTTTGATTTTGAGGAACAAAACAGGAACAAATTAATATGTAAGCCATGAAAATCTGCACATGAAAAAAAGGGTAACCTGAAATATGTCTAACTGCAAGTCTTGAATCTGACTTGACAGTTTGGACATGTCACTCCCAAACACTCACTGGCTAACAGGCACAACAGGGCCCACTTGCACAAAGTGATCTTAGACGATCATAAGTCTATGTTAAAATATGGGCGTTACGATCATCTTAGCGATAAGATCGCTTTGTGCAAATGGGCCCTGGTCCACATAAACAAACAAATATATCTCCTTGTGTTGTGTGTCCACTGTGGAATGTCAGATCTGTATGAATATCAATCATCATCATGATCATTTGAGTGCAGCGATTGAACTATTGATGCATAGGGACTGTCTATGGTTAGATGGCAATACATCAATGACAAATTGAAATAGTGACATTAATTCCATGACCAGATTGATTGTTTTTATTGACATAAAATAATGACAACATGTATAATCCCCAATATGATAATATGTTACCATTTTAATTTTTTTTCTAATTTTTAAGTTAAAATCTACACCAGACTCAAGTAAGAGCTACTGCCATTAAATATCCTACCGGTATATGGTCTCTGAGCTAGGACATACTTAGATTGACACCATACATAATCGAACTTGAAATGCTACATGGTTGGAAGGTAAGATGTTCAGAATACAATTACAATATTATTGCAATAGTTCTATTACTCTTGCAACTGTATTGAAAAAGTACTTCTAACTATCACAGCCAACGTGTAAATGTCATCAGTAGTCACCCCTGACTATATCACTAAACCCTTACATTGAACATGCATCTATATTAGTATGCCATTCATGTTTGAGAATAGGCTATTCATTGATGGCCGTTCCTCTGCTGTTTTGCTGGACATGGGCCAAATAGCAGTTAAAAAGTTAATAGATCTTTCTACAGTGATTCAGCAAGTTCAGATTGGTTTAACTTATGGGGACAGTGTTATCTAACATGTCCTGAAGATTCTTTTCAAATTTGGTAATGATCTGCAAGAATGACTTATCAAAAACTGATAAAATTTGTGAGTGAAGAGTGAGTGAGTTTGGTGTAATCGTGTTAACGCCACCTTGAACAATATTACAGTTATATCATGGTATGTCAGCTTGATGTAGAATGAAAGCCCAAAGCAATGCAGGTCTAAGACATTACCACTATGGACATGATGGAGAAACCTATGAGCACAGGAATAGTGCTGACGAACCGAAAAACATTGAACCAACAATCATAGATTTCTGGCATGCTCAGGGGACGCAATTCTGCACAGCGACTTGTGCCCACTAACACCATTTGTCTGTAGCATAATAACTCCAAAGTGTTCTAAATCAAGGATTTGGAAGGGGCAGGGAAGGTCCTTTCGGTCCTTTTCCATAGTGCTAACATCTAGGAACCCATCTGAATCTGTCAACAATCAACATTAGGATAACGACAAGGACTCTTTGATTTTCATGCGTAATTTCAAACACAGCACCTATCATGCCTTTCATCATGTTACAAATAAAAATGAGGAAACAACATGACAAATAACCAAAGCAAAAGTCATAAATTTCAATGACAAAAGCTCTGCAAATCTCAAGTGAAAATTGTCATCCCTATTATAATCACATGCATTCAACATGTCAAGATCCGGGGTAAAACAGGTCTTCAGCAACCCGTGCTTGTCGTAAGAGACGACTACCAGGATCAGGTGGTCAGACTCACTGACTTGGTTGATGCATGTCATTGTATCCAAATTGCGTGGATCGATGCTCAAGATGTCAATCACTGGATCATCTGGTCCAGACTTGATTATTTACAGACGCCGTCACACATCTGGAATATTGCTGAGTGCAGCGTTGAACAACAAACAAACAGTCATTAACTTCATCGTTCTATTAACTTCTACCAACAGCATGTGAACATTGAATTTCATCATACACTGTTCGCCACCACAACCACAGGAATGGTGCAGGACTAGGTAGGCCTATGCCACCAGAGATTTATCTTGGATTTCACATTTCATGCCTTTAGCAGGCAAATTGAGAAAAATTGTTCATTAGTTCAAAATTGTTTTGTTGATAAAAGTTCTTATCTTCTTAATTTCAGATGTAAAACATCATGACCATGATAACATTGCATTCAGCGCAATAATATTCTTCTCCATTGGTCCTATTATCAGTGAAATACAAGTCACCTTGACCAAACCATCACTTTAGTTCGAACTCTATTAACATGAATTGGGATTTTTTACTGATATTTGCTGCAGGCTCGAGGCTGAATATCGGCCTTTGAGCAGGTCTAGAAAGATCCATGTCATCATGCTGTTTCCAGTCGGAGCAATAAGGCTACCGGTTCTAGTTTTTAATACATAAATGGACATATCAAAATTATCCAGAATTAATACACTCAACAAATGCTTTATCTTTCAACAGGAGTTGTAAACCTAATTAGTTATCCCCTCTCCTAATGAATCAAAGGGCTGGACTCAGAAAATTGCATGATCAATAGGATCTGGGCAATCCATTGGGACCCACTCTGCAAACTGCTGCATCATAGGCTAGGCCACCAACCAAAGCAAACAGGGAGGTTTTAAATTCTAAACATACCCAAGCAACAGGTTCCAAAAGAACTATAATGTAACCTGTTGATAGCATTACATTTTCTTTAATGTTTTTCCTAAAGTTTGTCTGTGAATGAAGCTTTTTCTACATTTCACCATATAAACTGTTTAATGACAGTTATCATTTTCTACCTTTAGCCCCTAATATGAATATAAGTCATATGAGCCTAGTGGCATAACGCACCACAGGTGCGTAAGATGCTTGACAGAAACAGATTTTGCTGTAGACAAAAAGCAAATGGTCATAATAGGACAAAGTGATAATTTACCATCTCATGAGGAATTCTTCATTATCAATAACAATCTTCTTTTTCAAATTAGGCCTATTCAAAACATTTTTAAACACTGTCTGGCAATGGCCTAAAACCATAATATTATAATATGAAGCCATTGACTCACAAAATACGTTAGTGCGCCTAACGTGCGATTTTCACCATGAAATAGACATATGACGAACTAATAAGGCTACGCGTTAGAACTCATTTGAATTCAATTCAAGGTCCATGTATGAATCAGCACTGGCAATGAGGCTAAATGTTTATGTCATGACTGGGTCATACGTTTGACACAACAGTTCTAACATTTTACTTATAAATCCATTTTATGGACCATATATCATGATATTTCACGGTGACATGCACCAAAGTTTGACAATAACGCATACTCCTCGGTTTATTTGTTTAAATTTTGGGTTAATAATCATCATATTTATGTTAGCAACCCGGTATCATGCGATTGTATTGACATAGAAATGCGACTTCACGCGACTGATTCTCACCGTCAGTGCGCTGAATATCCACATTAACACCAACTTTTAGACCTCCAAGATCCATGTTTTGAAGTCAGGGTAAACCAGTTAATTAACACGATGATTAACACAGATATAAGGTTATTTTTCAGTTGATATTTTGTCCATCCCGTGTGTTCATCCGTTGGGATTTTCAAATCAAGTCACTGCGCATGCGTAAGACATATTTCATTGTGGTATTCGTCGATAGACTACTTTATGTTCGTTTGAGGGTCGGCTTCAAAATATACTGATGACTTCATAAATATCTTTGTTTACTGCCTAAATAGAACACAGCCGCTTATGCCACGATTCGCATATAAACGTCATAACTTTATGATAATATAGCATTAACTGGACATAAAGTAACGTGTATGGGCGTGAAGGGAGCGGTAATGACGCTCAACAGTGTTCAAATGGTATCATGTGGCCGTTTATTACTGCTGCAGATTTTACCTTTCTCTCAATGAAAATATAACGTCATTTTAACTACTACGAGATTGATACTTGCATCAGCAGTGCGTGTATTTCTACACACGGAGCTTACATTATTTTAAAATAAATTACTGTACTAAACCTCGTGAAATGAAAAAATGAAAACAAATATAATCATATAATCATTGAAAAATACTGTTTCAAATAACGATTACTGATGCATTGTATATTTTTGAATGCGAGAGAAGTTGACCCTTAATTGTTACTTTATCCCGTAATTACTTATCACATATTTTCTCCGTTGATGTATTCCTAATATAACCGCAAATGAAAAGAACGTATCAACCACCAATCTCATTCAAATCAGGCCTTTTACTCTGATACGATACCTCTCTATGCTTAACCCAGTTAGGTATCGTACCGGAGTTACAGGTCAGATTTTAATGGGATTGATAAACCATAAAAAATCATCTACAAATAATAAATATTTTACATTTGGAATCGGAAGATGATACTGTACTTTAACATAATTTATTTTTATGCAGTCTGTAAACAATTTTAATATGTAAAATTTATTACTTTAGAAATTCGTTTTCGTTTTAAATTACAATTACATATGTTTGTCTGATCATGTTAATAGTCGGGCAATCGGGTAGCCTAGCGGTTAAAGCGTTCGCTCTTCACGCCGAAGACCCGGGTTCGATTCTCGACATGGGTACAATGTGTGAAGCCAATTTCTGGTGTCTTCAGCAACCCATGCTTGCCGTAAAAGATGACTATGCTTGTCGTAAATGGCGACTAACGGGATCGGGTGGTCAGGCTCGCTGACTTGGTTGATGCATGTCATCGATGCCAATTGCGTGGATCGATGCCCATGATATTTAATTAATCACTGGATTGTCTGGTCTAGACTCGATTATTTACAGACCGCCGTCATATAGCTGGAATATTGCTGAGTGCGGCGTTAAACAACAAACCAACCAACCAAAACATTATGCTGGAATACCACAGAAACGGATAACACACACGAGATGCGTGTTTTACCGTAAAAGCGTTAGAAGCGGACGTACAATTACCATTGATGTCGTCATTGAAATGCCAGGTCTAGATTTGTAGCCTTGTATTGCTTCAATGCGACACTGAAGGAAATAATCTTGTCAGTCATACAGACACTAAATAAATATTTGCAATACAGCCTATGCAAGTCTATAATGTTTGGCAAGTCTAGATTACTTCAGTATCAGGACAAATGAAGAAAGTGGGGAGGTCTGGACTTGGTTGATGCATGTCATCGATCCCAATTGAGTGTATAGATGCTCATGATATCAATCACTGGGTCGTCTGGTCCGGACCCGATTATTTACAGACCGCCGTCATATGGCTGAAATATTGGAGTGCGGCGTAAAACAACAAACCAAGCCCTTAACTATATCATTTGCAAAATGCCTACTCATTTTTTTTTATTACCATGGAATATTAAACTTACAAATGTGGACCTGCACCTTTAACAAATTACATGAATTCACTTCATATATAAAACAATGGGACAAAACACAACCTTTGCCTCGGAATTTCATTATTTCATGACCTGTACTTCACAACCGCCATTGTGGTTGTGAGTCATGATCGTCGCTAGACTCATCATGGCTATATAGTTTGACGAATGGAATATGTTGCAATAACCATAATTGGTTAATATCGAGAAATGAGCGCGATTATACAGCGCCATTTCTTCGTGTCTGTCTCAAAACTGAGAGCTTGGTTTTCAGCTTAATTTTAAAATTTGTAAGCGATTATACAAATGATAACGCGACAGCATGCATCAGCATTCATATGGCGCACTAGCCGTGTTTGTTTCTCTGGGTATTGGTGGTGATCAGGATCCGCAGGTCATTGGTTCGAATCCGAGTTTCGCCTTGATTATGATGCTGGGTTTGCAGCGCAACACCTATTGTGGGTGTTTTCACGTACAGAGGTAAAGGTACGCGACCTGCGTCATTATACGCGCTTTCCTTTCACATCAAGCTGACACGCAGGGATATACATATATAGATCTGAAATTACGTTTTATTTGTTTAGGGGAAAATTCGGATTGCATGGTGTCTGAGCGAGGCCGACAAGTGTGGGATTTTACTACGCTTCAAATTATCAATGCATTAATGATTTTATTCAAAGTTTTAGATATTAACAAAACGGCAAGCACATAACGCGCTCGGTTGTGAATGGAGGCAAATCCTGCAATTTATAAATTTCTATCTTGTCTTGCACAACGCAACATCCACGAACAGTGAGAAGTGTCGTAAAGTCATTTAGCTACCGCCCCTGCAGGATACAGTGTTTGCTGGGCAATTATTACATTTATATGATTTAATATTAGTAAATGATTGTAATGATTGCGTGTTTGGTTACTTCCCTTGTCACATGGCCTGAAATTAAAAGAAGAAGGATCAGCTATGCCATCCTTCTTTCAAGCGCCAGTTTATTCGCCTCCACCCAAGCCAACATAACTCTCTGACATTTCACCCGCACAGCAAATACAGGAGTTATCTCCCCTTTAACTATGGAATCCAAGCTCCTTCCCAGCGCGTGACACCTTCTTTACACTTTCGGTATTGACCTTTTTCACACTTTCGCCATCTTGGATCGAAAACGAGGCTTGGATGGCATAGCTCCATGCAGTGTGAGTCGCATCAGCTGATAGGGAACAGACAGCATGTTGTGCATTTCACTGATGGACATTTCAAAAAAAAAAAAAATGGTATCCTCTGTATCTAATACAGAAGATATTTCACATTTAAAGGGGCACTGATCTAACGGACTGGTTGTTGCCTTTGTTATTGTTTTTCCCCCGTGAGTACCCGGATGATACGCAACGCAACTGAGCGTGACCAGAGACTGGGGTACCGTCTGCAAGGACAGCTAAATAAACTTGGAGGCTGGAGGCAATATTTGTTTTACGCATTTTTGAACACTGATTGGTTAACTGTGATCTATAAAGATTTCGACAAAGGGCGCTTGTTAATTAATTTCTTCAGCCTAAACAAACAGACATAAAGAACAAGGGAGCTCATCGGATGTGGTCATTTGGAAATACCCCAGATGGTTATAGTTTAATACTAAAAAAGGTATCCATGCAGTGAAAGCATGGGAGCCGAAAGCATTTTTGGATTTCGGCTTGCGTCGATAATACGATTACTACTCCCTTGTTTTCATCCACGTTTTCTCGTATAACCCTACACGTGTGTATTTGTCGTCATTCACTTGATGCTCAGTTAATGAATTTATTACAGGTACAATTAGTGGTAGCACCACTTAGATTACCTGACAAAGGTTCCCATTTGGCATTTATTGTGTCTGGGGTAATTATTCAATCTAAATCCAGGTTTGAAGTGAGGTGAAATGTGTGTTATGTAATATGCACGTGGCAGCCCAGCAAGAGATGAATGATCAGTTGATTTACTTTTTCAGTAAATCAACGGATCGTTCCTAGTCATCAAAGGATTAACAGAAAATACGTTGATTGATTAATCACTGTTATCTTGCACAGTGGATATGTCAAGAGTGAGTGTTTACATGTCTAGGTTTACTGAAACAAAGGGAATACACTCATATCATGGCGCGAAGTGCCGATGTAAAAACAACATACTTTGTTCAAAGGGTTAACTGATAATACGTTGATTGATTGATCATTGTTATCTATCACTCAATGGAATTTTTAGGAACCGTGGACGTTATGAAAATAGTTGTCACGTGAGCTTTCTCAGCTGACCATTGAGACTTGACACCTATGTAAAACACCTGAAACAATCCAAGCTATCAGTTGAGAAACGAACACGGGTTATAATATCCCGAAACGATATATATCTTTTAAAATATTTTATTGTTACTGAGACACGTGACATCGAATAAGTTTCTTTGTACAGTTGCACACGAGTGGGATATTGTTCCTTTGTGTAGATATTCACGGATACATTCCTCGAACAAGGAAGCTGCCTAAAACTTATACACATAAATTTGGTAGGTTGTAATTATGATATTTGCATTTTGTTTTCCTTCATTTGAACCGATTCGTTCTTGTTTCTCTACGTCTTGGTTGGGAAATTCTTCAATGCGCGATAGACGTCGTTGTCACAGGTCTTTTCCTTTGTAAGCGTGTATATATTACCGTCAATTTGTAAAATGTGATTCTCTCAGGCAATTTATAAAATGTGTAAATATTTCAGTCATTTTGACTAAAAAATCTGTCCAGATTGATCAAGACGATCAAAAGGGCCTACAAACTTCACAACAGATTATTATGTAGGATTAAAAGCCAAACAACTTAGAAATGTACTTTTCAACGCAACATTTTCAGTCTCTTGGTGATGACATTAAACATCAAAATGTTTGGAATTCGTTGTCATAATAATACAGATGAAAATGTTTTTCAGTCACTTTGTAAAATAACTGAATATTTAGAAGTTTAATAAATTCGTTACACATTTGACAGTAAAAAGATATACACACTATAAAAAAAGCATATGCTCAGGTGAAATATTTACTTTGTGTTGCAAGTCAAAATAGTGTAAACGAAAATTACCAAGCAAGTGACTTATCAAAACTTCGTCACCGTTACCGATGCTACTCACATAGATACCTACATTTCCTTATTATCTCGAAAACTGTATTTCATTTTGTTGATCAATGTGACCATACGCCCTTATTACTACCCATAAAAGTGACTAATGC